CGAAAAGGTATTTTATCCCGTTTCTAAAGTACGCTTACACAATTTTTAAACGCGTTGCCAAGCATTACGTTAAGAATAGGAGATCGTGGATTCCAATCGCGAGGAAATAACAAATCGTTTCAATCCGGCAGGGCACAGAAGTGTGATCAATTACTTTAAATATAGTATTGTAAATGAGGGAAACTGAGTTATTATATGTTTCACTCTGGTTACACGATCCACACTTCGCTAATGGGCCCAACATATTGTAATACGCGTAGAGCATGGCTCTCGAAAATGTTGGCATCGAATTTTACACAATGTGATATCAGCAAACAATATGAATATAAATACAGACTCCATTAAGCCGTCTATCGACATGTAATTCGGTCGCATTTTAATATTGTATATAAATTGTTGTTGGATTGTGATAAATTGCATCGTTCACAAAATTATATTTGTTATAAATTATATTCATTAATGTTATACAATCACATTAATATACATTAAATAATTTTTAAACCCACACACGTTTTATACACTTAATGTACACTACAAGACCTCTAAAAATTTTAAGCTTTCTTAAAATCGTGCTTATTTTTGAAAAGCAGATATTGTAGGACAAGTAGTGGTCTTGCACTGCTTGTCGTACAATGTTTTTATGGGTACTGTTTAGATACACACATAATGTCCTCCATAAAGTGGCCCTTATTGCAAAACTTAACATAACGTAACTTTTGTGTACACAATAATGTTTAAACTTTAAATACTCGAAGGCTTTGTATAAGATAAGCTGTCATCCACTACAAAAATAAATATATTGTTAGAAACAATCTTCCGCTTCCAACAAAACATATTACCTACCTACCTCCTGTACATAAATTACATTCCACTCAATTGAAGGCATGAAACATTAATAATACCGGGTGTAAGAAGAACGTATTTATGTGTTTTAATACGTTACAAGCGTGGGGTACAGATTATAGATTTAAAAATATTACGGCATGCCGACCAAGCTCAAATGGTTAGAGCAACAGCATGCAACGCTGTGAATGCCGGTCCATGTCCTGCCGTGTCGTATTTTTTTATATCTATAATAGATTTTTAATTTATTATAAATTGATTTTGAAACATTAAATTTGGTATGAACCGAACTCAATTGCCGTTAATTTATTAGCCGTATTGAGTAGCCATAAACTATCATTAGGACCATATTGTCTCTACCTTTTTTTAAGTGTCGGTGTGAATGCATAATGCACGCCCACGTCAATTGTGACGTATTTCAGCTGGCAGTATCAACGCTAGCAAAGGCGAGACCCATTAAACACACCACCAGAGCGCTACGGTACTTTCGAAGGAGTACTGGAACGTTTGTACAACTCCAAAGCTCCCAGCACCATATTATGTACACCTCACCATATAAATTAAGAATGTTTTGGTCTATAAGTATGGTTTATAAGAAACCTATTTTGGCTCGCTTTGAATGACGGTATAAATAGCTACGTCTAGGCGGAGTGTTACATAATTTAGCATCGACACCACTCGGATCGATAGCCTACAAATAGATGCGTCTCCCTCTTGAATATATAATTCATTCTCTTTAAGTGAATGTTATTAATATGCCACTATTAAGGAAGAAATAGTAGGAATTATTTATTCTCCATATATAATCCGCTTATTGGTATTATAAATAAGCTTCATTAATCGGGAAATGAGACTTAAACACAATAAACCAAAAAATTTATTATTAGATACTTATTTAAAAATGAACATTTAATATTTGTGATTACGTAGAGAACATTATTTTATCTGTTACACACGTTATACATACCCATACACAAATCCTTAATTATTAGATTCATTCTTTTACAAACTAGACAAAACATACTGTCTATAGTACGCGAGTAGTACACATTTAAATTAAACGGTTTAAAACGCGATATATATAAATAGACAAAACATATATTAGAACCGCCTTTTTACATACGAGCCGATATATACAATTTATTCATAACATAGTGTGTGATATGTATGTGTGATCATGCGTGTTAAAGTGCGTTAAAAGAAAATAATAGGGGATGATACGCAAACGATTAGAATACAGAAGGGAGCTAGCCAGTCCGGCGCTCCGGCACCCCATTGAGCGGCGAACGATCCACATACATCGACGTCCCATTGAAGCGATAAACTACTCGTAATATGATTAATGGTCTCGCAATATCCACCTACGCCCACTGACTCTAGTGATTCATTCAAGACTTCCAATATAAAGTAAACGTTCCGTATTCGAGATCCATAATAGGCCTATAACGTGAATTTATATCCTGTAACTTAGATGTAATCTCGTGAACGTTTTTATACATCGCAGTGATGCGATTTTTTCTAGTTAAGTTAGGTTTATGTATATTTATAAATAAAAAAATCAATAGTTCTTACAGAATTTTTTTGCTTAATTCTAGTTGAAGAGTTTCTTTGGTCGTTTTTGTATTACATAGACCATTTTTGAAAATAGGCTTTGGGATTATATATATTATCAACAGATTTCTATATAAAATCACGCAGTGACCGATAGCAGCAATGGAACCACGGTCAATAATTTTTAAAATAAGTATCTTTGAAGGCTTCCATTGCGTGCGCTGCAAACACGGTTCCAGAAACCAAAAAAATATATTTGAAAGAATGATTTCCCTTTAAATCATCTCTGAGAAGTATATGTCTATCTTTAAAATTATTTTTCAAGAAGGACGGGGCACAGACGATGTCATGAGTAACAGCTAGTTTACAATATTATAGCCATTAAATTAAAACAGCTGGCCAGAACCGCTGAAGTAGTAAAAGTTCTAGATAATATTCATGAAAATATATAAATTTTATCACGTACCTAACGCTCCATCAAATTACACCGCAGATTCATCAATATTCTCTTATAGGTAACGCGAATGAAAATCACCCCTTATTCTTAGCTCTAAATAAACCCGATCGATATTTCTTCACGCCGTGACGATGAAGTGAAAGCATCTTGAAAAATAAAGCCTCAGTGAATGAAACCCGCTCCACTGCGGAGGCACGTACGACGCTTCGTAAATATTCATCAGACGAAAGGACCCGGCATTTCTTTGGGGCACAAAAATACTTAGCCTTCTCTTTTTCGCGATTCGGAATTCCTTCTAATCATTTATATTGACGTTTGCCGTCCACAGTGCGTCATCGACGAGTTATATTCACTTAGTATTCTAAGGACGCAGGAATAATTTCAATTCGGAAATGAAAACTTTTCTTACAATGAGCAGACATATTATCATCAAAGAGTCAAGAGGCTTGTCCATTATAATTTAAATTAATAAATAGAAATAATAGTTTAACGGGAAACATTTAAATCAAATGCTTCTAAACAAACGAACATGAAATGGTAAATAAAACGTTCTTAATCTCGTTCAAATAATATAGCTAAACAAAATTAATCGTAAACTTTTTAAAACTTTCAATGAGACAATTTATTGCACAATTTAGAAAAAATGGTTGCACATAAAGCTGCACTGCCGGGCTTAATGCATTAAGAGATAAAGTACAATAGGAAAACTAAAGAAAGCAATTCAGTTTCGATAGTGAACTAGAAGTTCGACAATAACATCGTAGTATTTACAAGAATTCTTATCACGTTCATCTCCAGACGAAAGTAAATTGAAGTTATGTTCGCAAGCAATAATATAAATACACGGAATAGGAAATATATATCCGTTATCACATTATATATTTGCAAACATATTGTAGAACAATATAATCTCAACGTGCTTTACACCGATAAACATTACTATTACAAATGAGAATAAATCATTTTTTAACAATTCAAAACGCGAAATTAGTCATCCTAATTACGGGCCGTACCCTTTGTCCATCTCTTGTTTTGAAGTTAACATAAGTTAATTAATAATTTTCTATGTAAAAATATTTTTTTAGTAGAAATATTGGCAGATAATTTAAAACAGTGCCTCTACTAATTACGCAGTACGAATATTGTAATTTTGTCAATCGTCCTTGTTCTGCTAATGTAAAATATGTTGGCCATAAAATAAATCTCACAAACAACTTCTCTAATATAGACATTTCAACTTTTAGATCTTCCAAAAATACTATATTTTTGTTTGGTATCCAATAGAAGTATACGCAAAATTTAAGTATATTTTTATTACAGACTTTGTTTAGACTTTTACATACATTTCTAATATATAACGATACAAAACGTTTTGTACTTAACAATTTGAGTATTGATAAATAAATAAAATATTGAAAGTACTATTTATTCAGGAAATTGAGATATGAATGTACAATTAACTTTGTAATTGCCGAATAGTCTAGTCATTGGTATTTTGATCTCTCATTGAGTAAAGAGACCGCCCACTACATTTACCTAAATTGACAATGTCATATATGCCAATGTAGCCATTGCTAGACTAATTAACAAATGTCTTCTTCCACGGCTTTTAGAAACTAACAAACCAGTAATAGCGTTTAGTATTGATTTTATTTGACCTAAATTCTAAATTTACTACATCTATAAAAATGAATGAGATTGGCTTTTTTTTTAATTGTTTTTTAAAGATAAGACAGTAACAATATCCAGGCTTGAATATTAATGTATGTTTGTGGCTATCCAACTGTAAATTTTCACAAATCTCTTTCCCTTAAGTAAGTCATACGTTAGAAGTAATCGAGTTTAGTACGTTTTAACCGTCAATACAATATTATGGTCACTGAAAGATCACTGTTTCTCATGTTTAAGAGAGTAATGAGACAACGGTTAAAGATAGACAATACGTATATATCAGTTTCCATTAAAGTGTGTTCTATTCCTGAATTTAAATTTAACTGAATATTATAATTCAGAAAAGGCTTCAACGTTAGACAAGTCGAGTGAAACGCACAACTAGAAATTCAATTTGGTGAATTAAATTTAAATTGTCGTAACCCTATTTACGGTTGCACAAGACGTCGTGGAGCCTACAAAGACTCTGAATGAATAGATGGAGGTCGCGCAATCGAGCTACGACCCACGGGCTGAAAGCACAAGTAACAGCTTAGCGATTAGCGGAGCGACATCTATACATGTTATTACATATGAGAATTCAACTCAAATAATTGAGTAGTAGAATTGCCGTCCTATCATACGTCCATACTTATGTTTTTCCTAAATTATTTTAACTTAATATTTTTTTAAATTTTGGTTTATACTAACTTCAAAGTATTTTTAATATCATTGCAATAAAAGCAATTTCGATTTTTTATACTAAGATTTTTAGATAATTTTACCAATTATAGATTCCGTATATTGTATTATTTAATTTATTATTGTATAGATAGATATTAAAATACAGTCACAAACTGAATAGCTAAATGTTGATCATACGAATGCAATAAGATGTAAACATAATTAAAGTCGTGTTGCACTGAAAAATATTCCAATATTTCAGTACAGATTGAATGCTACGTACAGTTCCGTACTGTACGTAGCTAGCTAGCGAGTACGTAGCCAGTACCCGCTTCCGCTTAGCAGTAACGCCATTTCCCTAATCGAGGTCTTATACCCGGGCGGCTAAAAATAGACGCTCACGACAGAGTAGCCGACTCTACGTGCGGGAGTTCTGAAATTCTCCCTGAACCCATATTCCGCGTACTATTACGGTTTCTCTTAAAACTTATTAAGTATTAATACGGGTATTGAGTTTTTCCATTTTTTTAATGTTTAGTTTCGTATCTCATCAAGATTTAAAACGACGGACGTTACGATCTATACAATAAATGACTTTCCCAATATCCTAATTGTAGCCTAAAACAAGAGCAAAGCTTTAAATTAAAGATATCTATACTAATATACTACTGTATAAATCTGAAGAGTTTGTCAAACCTCAGGAACTACTGGTTTTAATTGAATAATTATTTTTGTGTTAGTTAGAACATTTATCGAGGAAGGCTATAAAACATTGCGCCGTGACTGATAGAAGCGAAGAAACAGCGGGAAATGTGACAAAAACGGGAAAAATTATTCATCTTGCAGAGTTTTCGTTGCGTGCGCTCTGAAAACGGTTCAAGAAACCAAAACAAAATGTATAGAAGGATCGTTCTTCTTTAAATGATTTAAAAAAAAAGTCCGGGACACTATATGTCTATCTTTTAAGATTAACTGGCAAGAACGACCCGAACGACGGGACGCGTATGACTGGATACGAATGTCGTGGGTAACAGCTATAATTTATAAATATGAAGAAGTTCGCAAAAACAAATTTTGACGCCCATAATAACTAATCTATGCGGACGAAGTCACTGGCACAGCTAGTATTCTATAAACTAACTACTAATAATAAAAGTATTAGGAGAGTACAAAATACTTAATTATAGAAACAAAATAATATGGTGGGCATAATTATACGTATATTTGTCTATTTGTTAGATGGACGGTCCTCGTTAGTTTAGTTAAACAGATACAAGGTTTCGACAAACATAAATGGCTGACAAACAGGGCCTTTGATAATGCGATTACTGGTATTCGTAAATATGTTTTTTTTATGTAAGACAATCATAATATAATAAAGGGAGGTAATTACCTAACTATGACTTAACCATGCATTTTAGTATAAAGAGTATTATTGTCGTTAGTTGAATATTTATATTAGAATTAAAATGAGAAGCTTTTATGAATAAATAATACCGGCTCACATAATACTCACCGCTGTGAAAAAAAACACGAGTTGTCAACTGACGCGACACAAGTAAGCCTAGATTTTTCACTCAAAGTTTTATTGATAAACTTCAACACCAAGTTGTGAACTAAAAGTGGTTTAACAAGTGTACCCCGGAGAGTGCTCACAATAAACTTCGATACTCAACTTTATAACCTTGAATCCAAGCTTTAAATGTTTATAAAACTCCGAAACGTAATAGTCTTTCGTTAAAACTGACTGTTAACTAATCTATGTTACACTGCAGTGTTAAAGGAACTGTCACCTTTGACAATATATAGTTTTTTCCTATTTGTGGCAACAATAATTAACTATTTGCCAGTGTTGGCTGTATTTAAAATGTAGACATTACATAGACTTTCAGACCTACATAGTGATGTCCTAATCTTAATAGGATAATCAATGCTTTTACCAAGGGAACTTCACTGCGATTACCATAGATAATGATCAATAACAGCCTTTAGAGATTTCGAATTTTAGTTTGACAAGCATTATGTTAATCTTAATTTATGTTCTGCATTTTTTCATGATTGTGTCAATATAGTGATTATTATGTACCTATTCAATTATATTTATAATTCATTTCTATGTAATTGACATATTGTAAGGTGGATAAATAGCAAATATTTTAGCATTGGAAAAGAAATAAAAAACACATGAGACAATTTTTTAATACTATAATCTATAGATTTATAGAAATTCTTAAGACGTTATATATTATAGAGTGTATAAATTATAGTAACACTTACATCAAGTCAATTGAATCTTTGATTTGAAAGAAGGCACTTATAAGGACAAAAAGGGACAAGTTATTGTCTAGTTATACTCCTGCGAGACCAATAACTCCTTTGAGACACCGGACTAACGCCAAAAACAAGGGAAAAATCATCTCTTTGAAAATAAACCCTTCTAGAAAACTATCAAAACCCTTTCTAATCAAATAACAACAAACATAAGGAGTATGGTCGTATCGTAAGGGTTGATTGAAATTCTACCTCAAAGGATAGTCCCTCTGATTAAATTACCAGTATACGTTTGAAGTAGTACGTGGAAGATTTATTTTGTAATCACGCAGAGAACTTAATTGTATGTTTGACGGTTCATTGTGCTTAATCCGGCCGTAATTAAAATATATCTCCGCGCAATCCTTAATTATTTGGGGTGAATGAACAGGATATACAAAATGTCATTTCTATTTGTAATTATATCCTTCATTAGCTAAGCAAAGTAACTGACGAGTAACATACGATTTACGTATATATACGAGTTACGTATATATATGTATATATATATATATATGTATGATACAAGGAAGCATTTGCCATGAAATTGCTTGCTTGACTGAAATAAAACCGATACAATTTATACATTTGTAAATGCTTAAGAACTTAGTAGAACATTGCCCTCCATAGATTGAGAAAAAAAACACCGTGTATTATAAATTAAAAAATTAAAATTTAAAAAAGTTTGATTGGAAAAACTAACAATGTAGAGTATATTCCTTTAATTATTAAATTTAAAAGTTGTCGCTCTCTTAGTTTTCTGGGATCTTGTTCGTGGTGGTCGTGGAAAAGAGACTTGTTTGCTCAAAAAGAACAAGTTATCTCTATTCCTATAGGTGGCCGGAGTCTTAAGACTCCTGTAATTCTTAAAAGACTGGTAATAACGTCTGTGATGTCTTTCAGAGTGTCCGCCAGCCGCGGACGGCATGGAGCGGTTCGCGTGCCCCACTCCTGACAGACAGGGGCGTTACAGATGTATCGATGACCACGTGCTTTGCGACGGCTTCATCGACTGCCCAAGCGGGGAAGACGAAGATCGTCAAGCCTGCATGTTCTATAAAACGGTAATAACTTTGCTATGTGTCAATAACACATAATACATAACAGTGCATTGCAAGAGGGTACCTATAAAACCAACCAACCGCCTACTAGATCCTGTCAGAAACAGCAGGACCAAATAGCCCTACATAGTATATTGAGAAACATTAACGTTGTGTTCTATGAAAAGCGTAAAAAATTATTATATAAGAGAACGCTACATCATTTCCCCAACTCGTTAGGCGCGGCCTAATTACATACTGTTTCATATACTTTACACTGCACCTGTGTTTATTCGAAAGTGAATAAAAGTGTGGATTTTTGACAGCATTCATTAAAAGCTATTGCAAATAAAAACGATATAATCATTACATAAAATAATGAAAGAAAATAACTTAACTTATACATATTAAACAATTACGTAAGTTTTTTTTACTATCTGATTTAAGTTTAATCTATATATTAAATTGTGTGTTTGTTTTTCCAGACAAAGGCACACTTGGACGTACTCGCCGACGCGCTGCTGCGGTGGGCGCGCGGCCGTTAATCATCCCTCCGAACAATTAGTTCTCGAACATTCCATCAGTGATTCTCAAATAGACTGAGACATTATCGATCCTATTCAGTTACGCTGCGAACGACATTGACGTATTTAGACGCAACCAGTCGACAAATTATAGAGACGTTATGAAACATATCAAGTAGTGCGGGCGCGAGTGACCACAGAGTGTACTAGTGTAAGGATTTCGAGAGTGATTCGTTATCTGTGCGTTGTGGCGGGAAACAGGCGACGGCGGGCTCTGGTTACGTCAAAATAATCTCTCGGCAGCTATTTCCTCAATGTTTACCTTCTAGCAATTATTAAACTAAAATGTGAGACTGGTAGTCGACATTGTTAGGCGGTAGAACCTATATAAATATTTTAGTTCATAGTACTTTATTTTAATTATGAATGTTATCTATTTGTTATTGTATTTATTCGGATAGTTTTAATTTTTAATGCATTCCTTGAATTGAGGTTGTTAGTAAATAAGCGTTCATTGTAAAAGGGCTGCCGAGCGGTCAATGTTTTTACAGGCACGCATAATAGTCCTATTTTCGTTGTCGCACATTCTTCTGTGTCGCCAGTTAAGTTGAAACAATCTTGAATTGCCGCCTTGAAAGCTATAAAAACCATTTACCATTTGGCAGCCCGTTTATATTTTAGATTGACTAATGTATATTTATTTAAATTATCGGCCTATATTTGGCGTATTGCACATTGACTAGCGGTAATTAAGTGCAATAGATATTCCTATTATTAACGTATTTTTATTTAACGACTCATAAAGGCTTACTGGTTCATAACTCGCGTGATCTTTGACTAAACCGTCTATTTCAGGCAGCTATTAATATAATCAATATCATTAAAAATCCAACCGACTCCTTCTACTTCTATATCTATTTGATTTAAATATTTCAAATCTTAACTGTCGATATTAAATTTAGTAAGTTATTGCCGAATAAGTCTTTTCAAATCATTTAATTTTGTACTTGGTTAGCCTGCTGTATTTGTTCGGTATAATTTGTTACTTTTAGTTTTTCTATCATCTATGGCTTCACTACTAAGAACATTCAAGGGTATTTAACTTCTTAAACCAAATTTAAGAAACATTTCGCAAAATATTTTTATCAAAATAATGTTTTATTTAGTCTATGAAGCAAATTGTTGTTCGCATCCCCACTTAATTCTTAATGAAAAGTTTAGAGTTTAGAATAATATTACTATTGGTTGTCGTGATTATAGATGTAGATAAGAATTCTTGGATGTAATCTTAAATTGTGCTATTATTATGATTACACCTCTAATCTAGCGTAATGTTAATAAAGATATATAGTCTATAGTTACAGAATATATTTATGAAGTAGATCTGCATTTATTGTAATAATAAAAAAATATCGCACCAATTTATAAGAATTGATAGATATAATAAGCACCATATTTTGTGTCTATTAGAGTATATTGTGTTGAAAGAGTAAAATATCAGATAAAAAATTAGGAATAATTAGGTATGATTATCGGGATGCGAGCATCAATGATGAATGGGGTATTGTTGTGGTACTGAGGAGGGCGGTCAATGCGCATTAATTAGGCTTTATAAGAATTTTATTTGTTAATAAACACCGTCTTAGTCTGATAGAACTGATGTTCTTGAGCCATCAGACTCTGCGGTATTTATAGTTCAATTCAGAATTGTTTATCTGTAGTTCACTAGACTACATAAATGGACTTTTCTATAATTATAAATCTGTTAGTCAAGAAAATTATTTCAAAATGTAATATTTGCTTTGACCAGCAGTATCACATCGAACTACCATTACAGATTACACCTTCATACAGTTTTAAGTAAATATTTCTTGTTGTTCTACTTTTATTTAATGCCGACGAATGTTCTCCGTCATGTCATAGTACGTTTGTCAGTTAATATTGATTTTGTAAATCTGCTATAGGCAATTCACGACCCTAAAATATTCAACACTTACGTAACTCAATATATTATGATATAAAAATTATGTGGTACAATATTTTTTATGTAAAGGACTTTTCGGCGAACCACTTATCTCCCACCATTTATTTGACGTAACAATTCTTATGTAAATTCACTGGATTTATTAGATATAATTGTAATTTTAATAAATATTACCTATAACGTATTTGCACTCGAAATTTGCCTGTTTTGTATGTGCACAGCAATTTATTGTGATATTTTAAAATATTTTAGATTAAGGTGCAAATCATGATCTCGATTTTAGAGTATGTATCAATATAATTATTAGTTTACATAGTTTGTTAAATGCTAAGCCGTATTAAATACGGACCGAATATTGTCTTGCGAACCGCTAACGCTAATCGTAATATCGACGCCATTTTTGATTTGACGCTTCAAACTCGCACAGCTTATATGAATTCTTTATGCTCGAGCACAGATTATATGAATGTTACTAAATGGTGTGTATTTGTGATCTGTACCTACTAGATGTAATGACAACCCTTTATTTGTATTATTCTCGTCGACGCAGCAATGGTCTGTACGTGGCAGCTAAAGCATTTGCTCATTTGAATGTTCTATTTCGACTGTTTGTACTTCTTTCTACAAATGCTCAGGTCTCCAGTTACGCACTAGAGCCTCGTCTGCGAGAATATAATTGTGAAACGTCGTAATGCTCATTAGATCTTCCCATTCATTATTGTATTCTAAAATCGGTGTTCCATTATATTTTCTTGTAACACATTTACACATTTCAAAATATATACGTTCGCTCAACGAGTACTCCATAGTACATTCGCCGAGTCTGTTATTGAAACAATATTTTTAGAGGACTCACTTGTAGATATTATAGGGTTTGTAATTTTTTCATCGTTGAAAGTCACAAAATCTTAAAGACATGCGGCCACCGAGGACGGAACGTTTCGTTGAAAACGTAACTACGTTACTATGATTTTGTCAGCTGTTTCTGAATTATATAATTTAAGAGTGCAACTATTTTTGTAGACACGTATATACGTTCGATTACCACTAGATAGAGATTTACATATTATATTTTCTCATGATGTTATGTTTGCCAAATGAGACAAACAATTGTAATGACTATTCTTCTTACCGCACAAAATTGAAAGCATAAAGAATTTTTAGAACATTCTATTTACAGAGCATACTATGTACTCGCTAATTTTCCATAGTGTTTTCATAAAGGCATTTTGCTCAGACTGTTGTCGTTGCGTAGCCTTTGAATTATGAATAACTCCGAGAGAATTCTCGACTATTCCACATAACTATATGTCCATATTTTATTTAACCTATAGTACATACTAATCTGCGTTTCATTAACTATTGTGAAACCTGACAATTCTCTCAGAGAGTATTCCTAAAATTTCGACCGATTAAGCAGTGAGTTGCCTAACCATTTGAGTACTAATGTGTCAAGCAACTCACAACGGTAATCTTATAACGACTACGCTATTTTGTAGGCGTATTTTTGGACTATTTATTACGTATTGTTAATTACTATATATGTTGTATTAAGATAAAAAATCGAAAATAAAAAATAAATGTTAATAAATGCCTCAGCCAGATGACATGAGTGTTTTAATTTTATACACTTAGCCCTTTATTTATTTTTTTTTGTTTTCTTCTACGGAAGATAACTTTACCTATTAACCTATTCCTTTTACTCGTCTACCTAATAATATAAACAGGCAGATTTGTATATTTATGCGGAACTTACTTTTGCCCTGAATAATTCAGGCAATGCTAATTGCTGAAAAATAACAAGATAAAACTTTAATCAAGTAACCACAGATGTAACAAATGCCATAAAAAATCTTGCATAGCATAGATACCCTGCGGAAACTTATAATGGTAAACCAAAAGTATGTTTTACAATTTTAAAACACGTATAAATTATTACAAAAAAAACTGCGCGCATACTTATATCCAGCTAATATCGTTTTGTCATTACTTATTAAATTTTAGGAACTAATACAATTATCAACTAAATTTAGACCATGTTATTAATACTTTTGTTGAAATCCTTACCAAAATAAAATATTCATAATTCAATTACATTATTTACGAATTATTTAAATCGGCTATGTCTTATTGGTTGGTATAATTTAAGTCAATAAATAAATAATTACGTGCAATATATTAGAAAAAGCCTTAAAATTCACAACTAAACTATAAGAAATACAATAAAAGATATTAACTAATAAACTCTAATATTTGCTGGCAACGCAAGCAACTAAGATTTAAGTTTTAAATTGGCTTCCGACAGTTTTATTATGTGCTTCTATAACTTCATATGGTAGATCGTCGGCGATAATTATTGACATTGACAGCTGTCAGAGGTGACAGTGGAATCGAGATCTAATCTAGTAACTTAGTAACTTGTCTCGATTGATCCGATGAAATAATTTAGCAAAATACCAAATACATAGTATATAAAATACAAATCTGTAACTTTATGCTATGCATATAAAAAAAGTATTATTAATCCACAAAACAGCTCATGATAAAAGTTCTAACTTTTGATTATAATATTTTATAAATTTATAACCATACTTCGATTAGTATCGATTTTCACTTATTTAGAGATAAATGATAATCGAACTACTCGAATCGATTTTATTACCCCTGCTAAAAATCCATCGACCATCACTAAACTTTCACAACAAAATATAAACTGCATTTGACATGTCTTTGTTTTCATTGCGCTAGCGATACAAAACAGTGCTCTCTAATTGCGTCCGGTGCTTTATTTGTTGTGGATTCTTCCTGTTGCAGTGAAAGTGGCTGCAACTATGTCTACCTGTGATATTCAAAGAGCTGAGGCTTCTAAGGATAATGTCTCGCAGAAATCCGTTGACGAAGGTTTACCGCGAGAGCTTAGTCAATTGAGCCTTTCAAGTGGATCCAGTCCAGATGAGTTCCATTGCAGCAAAGGCCATTCGGAGGCTACTTTAAAGAATATTTTTGGTTACTATCAATCTCAAAAGCTGTGCGATGTAGTACTTATTGCTGGCTCATGCAGGTAAATTTTATTTCGTAGCGCCGTATAAGGGTAAAAAATTCTATTGTGTATACGCTGACAAAGAATGTAGATATTTATAGAATGCTTCTCCTTTTAAGTAACAATACATTGTCCACTCATTAAGTTTTCATTTTACTTTGTTTAAGAATACCCGCACACAAATTAGTACTAGTGTCGTGTAGCGAATATTTCGCGGCGATGTTCACTGGATCCCTACAGGAGTCTATGTCTTCAGAAATAACCTTAGAGAGTTTAGATGCCCAAGCACTTAAGACTCTTGTACATTATTGTTATACAGGAATTATAGGTAAGTAGTTTTCATTAAATATAACATATTTAATTATTATTTGTTCTTATTAGACTCTTGTTATTATTTTCTTCATACTACATGCCGATTTGTATTAACATAATTTATATAAATAACTGTCCTACTATAAAAAATATAATTCAAGAAATATGTGTTAAAAAAATCTATCTACCTTCCTTTATTATATTAAAATTGTAATCTATTAACGACTATTTTATAATTGTATTAAGTAAGATAAATACATACATTCATTTGCTATTGTTTTTATTTAAGAATTAAGTGAAGAGACTGTAGAAGTATTATTGTCAACGGCGACACTCCTGCAGATGAACATAGTTGCAAAAGCATGCTGTGACTTTCTCGAAAAGCAGTTGGATCCTTGCAATTGTTTAGGTATAGGATTGTTTGCCGAACAACAGTCATGTCTGAGCCTACACAAAACAGCTATGGAATACACATATCAACATTTTATGCAGGTACCTTGAAAAAATTAAAATACAATAATAGCTAGCTAGCTATTATTGTACTTTAATTTTTTTAATTGTTCTAGTAGTATCTATTTAAGAATTATCTTAATAACTTATTATTTCTACAAAGAAGTTACAATTAAGCTTGAAAAAATGCCATACTTGTATGATCAACATTCATAAGCTATTGCTACTTTAAATTCCTCAACTTCATTTGGCGATGTTGTGCTATTTGTTAACCTTTTTAGTTCATAATTACATAATATGGTTGTAGTTAATACATACAATCACACTGCCATTCAACTTCCTGTAACACAACAAATTAATTCTTAGTTGTTATATGGCAATGTTTTTTTTCACTTTGCTCAATCATTGGTACCAACATTGGTATCTTTTTGAATTGGTACCCTTGACCAAGTATATTAAAAGACTTATCTTTAATGGCATACTTGACAATAATTAAAACTTTAGAAGGAGAAGTCATTTTAAAAGTTAGATAGAAGCTCTTGACATTTTTAGATTGTTTTTTGCATCTATATATTTTCTTATGACAATAGAATTGAGTCTGTTTGAGAGAGTGTGAGTTGTGACTGTTTCATGAACATGACTGACTCATCAAATGTAACATCATTTTTTCTTGCAGGTTGTAAAAAACGAAGAGTTCCTATCACTAGGTGACGAGCAATTAGCGAATTTATTGAAGTCAGATGATCTCAATGTGGTGACTGAGGAGAATGTGTTTGAGAGCCTGATGCTGTGGGTGCATCATGATGCAGCTAACAGGGAGAAATATTTGCCAAACCTTCTCAAACTTGTTAAGCTGCCTTTGCTCTCATCTGAGGTACCTAAATATAATACAAGATAATTTAAATAAGATTATGAATAATGTAGATTATAACCAAGATTTTTTATCATAAGTGACACAAACCCGCGTTTTAGAAGTATTTAAACAGTATCGCTTATATTCAATTACAGGAAACAAAGCATAGTAATATATTTAAAAACTAAAGCTTTGTCTAATCTTATAAAATATGTTTTCACAATTGAAATATCTTTGCTCTTTCACTACAATTATATTGTATCCTATGCATTTTTGGTCCTTAATTTACAACTAAACAAAATTTATGTTTAAACACCACTGTCTCCATTTGTTCTCTTTCATATTCATAAAACTTACATTTTTGTAAGTAATATATTTAGGTTGCTTTGTAAACATATAATATTTATATGTTTCAGTACCTGATAGATAAGGTAGAGTTGGCATGTGGTAACGTAGCTGAATGCCAACCACTCATAATGGAGGCTGTGAAGTGGCATCTGCTGCCTGAAAGACGATCTCTCCTGTGCTCACACAGAACTAGACCTCGGACTTCTACCATCGGAAGGCTCTTAGCTATAGGCGGTATGGACGGGTATAAGGCAAGTTGAATAACACTTGATTCAATAGTCATCTGGTAAAATTTATTTCTTATTATATTTATATGTATATTTCTATGTGTCTATTTCTATTGTTAAAATGTGAAAGAAGAAGATAAAACTTTGTTATATATTGATGATGTCTAAATTATTATATCAACTTTGCAAATAAATTTACTTCTTTTTTTGTTATCCCCGCAGGGGGCAAGTAACATGGAGATGTATGACCCCCGTACTAACACATGGAGTCCCTTCATGCGCATGGGCGCGCGACGACTTCAGTTCGGTGTCGCAGTGCTCCAGAATAAGCTCGTCGTGGTAGGCGGGAGGGATGGACTAAAAACTCTGAATACGGTATATTTGTAAGATTAGTAGATAGTATGATAAAATACACTCTATATACAATTTACGCTGCAATAGCAAATCTAAAGTTATTTCGATGCATAAAGTCTCGTACAATTTACCAAACTTGTTTGACGTGTACGTAACGAGTTTGGTACATAAAAAAATCTCTTCTCTCCGATTTCCCTAAATCGCGTTAATAATGGTTCGCTGGTTACTTTTCTGACTACAAACGCAATTTGTTTTATAGGTTGAGTGCTTTGACCTAACTTCGTTGAGCTGGAGCATACTAGCGCCAATGAACACGCACCGTCACGGGTTGGGCGTAGCCGTGCTGGGGGAGGGGCCTAATTCGCCGATCTACGCAGTCGGTGGGCACGATGGATGGATATATCTTAACTCCGTTGAGAGGTCATTAAGCATTTATTAATTATCAGCATTTTTATTGAAAAGGTCTACAGAGCCAAGCTTTAATGAACAGACATAATTGTCTTACATTATTTTTAATACAGAGGACAGATGCGGTTCACTTGATGAGCAGTGAAATGCTCCATTCATATAACATGTAAGCTAACGTCTTTATCATCTGTGTCATTCACGATCTATGAAAATGAGATTCAGTGGTAATCGAACCCACGACCCGTTGATTATCAGCCACACATCGCTACCATTAGACCAACGAGCCTGTCAAAATCCGTAGCATTTATTTATTTACGAATCACTATTCTAAATGGGTTTTTACAACTTACACCATGTTTATATTATTTAAGATGGGACGCCTGTTCTCGCACATGGACGATTGTAGCCAGCATGTCTGGCGCACGGAGCACGTGCGGCGTTGCCGCTCTGCGCGGACGCCTCTACGCCGTAGGTGGAAGAGATGGTGGCGCCTGCCTCAGATCAGTCGAGTGCTACCACCCCGCCACCAATCACTGGACAGCTTGTGCGCCCATGAGCAGACGTCGAGGAGGCGTTAGCGTAAGTAATAAAAATGTGAAAAAATACCTACCTTTAGTGGAGTTATCAATCGATTATTTTCTTTTTTGGTTTCACTATGAAAATGATTTAAAAAAAACAAATATTCTTCTCGACCAGGTGTGCGCAGCAGGGGGCTACTTATACGCGTTGGGAGGTCACGAAGCCCCGGCTAACACGGTGGGGGGAAGGTTAGCATGCGTAGAAAGATACGACCCGATTGCCGATAATTGGGTGTTGCTCGCGAGATTGTCGTACGGACGGGACGCTATCGGATCCTGTTTGCTTGGCGATCGGATAGTCGCCATCGGTAAGTGTAAATCTCTCTTTTATATGTGTTCAACCTAATGTTTCTGTATCATGAAGGAATATTTCTTTATATGAACTGAATACTAGCGTATATTCTAGTCGGAAGTCTTTATAATAGAATATCAGCAGTTAAAAAAATATGTTTGAGTACCTTTAATGCTCAAAAATCAACCTGATATCTAATACAACAATAAAATATGCAATACGAAATTTCATACCATTTAAAACGTAAACGTTACCTTTAAAAATTGTATATTTTTTTAAAGGAGATAATTTTGGCTATACACGTTGACATGTACAATACATGATATATTATATTATGTTATGTATTATACCACGTTTTCTTCATTTCAAGATGTTCATTTTAGGAAGAAGACTTTCCAATACGACAAACTTTGTTAATCTCGCTTGGGAACTATTGTTAGATAGCTGCGACCTTCTTCTTCTAGGCATATTGCTATGAAGAATATTTATTTTAAATCAGAGTAATTAAGAATCAACTAATAATAATACAAAAGAAAATATTTAAGTTCATAGCGATAATTCTGAAAAGATTTTTGATAAATATTATGATTATGTGATTCCTAATACTAAACTAAGTAGCTTTGAAAATAACTTTTTAAGTGAAGCATAAAAATGTTAAAAAAATCTAAATATTCAATGTCGTTCGCGCCCAGTGCGTAAGGAGCCCACTGCCCCTCAATCGTCGAATATATCGTCGAGAAGATGCGCGGCGTGGCGGCCACCGCCGGCATGCATTTTTATTTTAACTTCGTAATATCTTTTGAATGGAATGTCCTATTTCAATAATTAAAAAAGTAATCATCAGGTATTACAGTCTTGAATATTAAATCCGAATTATTTATTCGGATAAAAATTTATAAATGGTACGGATAACACGGTCTGATTGATCGGCATTTCTATCAATTTGTTAAATGTAAAAAAGTAGTTATAGCTACGTAACTACAATAGTTAGTCATATGCTCTCGCGATGTTTCTGTAGATATTAATATATTCTTTAATATTGTCGAACATTTTTTTGTCCTATCACTAATACTTTTCGCAGCGTATGCTAAGAAAGACATTTTACGGCAATTTTTTTTACGCCTTCCGTTGGTTTTAGTAAGAATTTCCATAGATGCCTATAGTAATCAAGTACTAAATATAGCCTATGTTACTCAGTGTTAATGTAGCTTTCTAATGAAAAAAGAATTATTAAAATCTGTCTAGTACTTTTTGAGTTTACCCGTTACATACAAAAATACAAATCTTTCCTCTTTATAATATTAGTATAGATAAAACTTCTCAACTTGTAAAAATCATTTTCAGGTGGCTACGACGGAGTACAGTACTTATGCGTGGTTGAAGTATACGATTCTGAGTCGAATTGCTGGCGGAAACTCGCCCCACTGAGTACCGGACGCGCAGGCGCAGCCGTCGTCGCCATTCCGCCGCCTACGCCCAGAAACATCTTCTGATACGACAAACTCATCATTTATATCCATGGGGTAATCTCGACTTCAAAGTAGTTATAATTTTAATTTGCTTATAATTTTTTAAGGGCCATATAAAGGCTAAAGTGGGACAATTGTGTCATGTGATACTTCATTCGAGAGGGGACTATGACATTTAATGACATCACCTGATAATTAGTTAGTTAAATCATATAATATTAAATTTTAGTAAAACGGCGTGACACCTCTTTCCTAACGTGACTTTACGTTTCAAATAAGAGATATTAAAATTATCAATGTAATCTGACGCAGTGTACTGATAGCCCCAAATGTAACATAACTTCGCAAGTAAAGACAAATATAAACGTATTAATTATATTAGATATTAGAAAGTTTTGTGGTATAAATAAAATTTTCCTCAGCTTCTCAAACCACCAGCAGATGTTTGTATCGGCGAAATATACTAAAATACTCGAATAATCATTAAGCAACTAATGCAAGAAGTACGAGGCTTTTTCTTTCAATCTGTGATTTTAAAACGATTGGCTACATTCAATTCGACATTCCGTCACTCTAACTCCCTAACACATACATTCATCAAACTATAGACCACTTATTTACTTTATTAAAACATTTTTAATACTTATTACTAAGCAATAACAACTATAATGTATTGCGTCGTTTTCGACATAATATTCGTCATCGACCTATATTTTTTAATATTAATCACTGTCAATAATATTATATTTATATTATAACCTTGTATGTGCTCATTTATTCATAACTTAATATTATCTGCTATAAAACATCGGTGCATTTAGTTTAAAATGTGATATTTTTGTATATTTTTTTTCTGGTGCCTATATTTATTCTCTCTCAATTCTCTGATCTCATTTTTTGCGATATTTTTGATTATATTATATTATAAGTTTCCTCGTATTTTCCTAAATTCTTAACAGGATTTATAAATCGACAACATTAAAACTTTAGTGAATAATTTTTCAAAAAGCAATAAAGGTATACGAATTAATTATATATTTACTTGTTATTCTTGCCTAAAATGTACTTACTTACACAGATACGGCACGACAAGCTTTATTTTACGTAAATGCACGCCAGTATTAGAGAAAAATACTTCGAATATTTTCTGTGATTATAAGACTAAAGTTTACATTTTTGTCGTTAAGTGGATTTTTAACTGGATTATTTTACGTATTTTCCCAGTTGACAAAACGCGACAAAAATAGTTAAGTCGTTAATTGATAGTATTATTTAGAATTATGTAGATATAACATAGGTCATATGGATATGGGTATTGATAATAATTACACATTAGTTACTTTCAGTCATACAAAATTACGGTTTAAATAAATAAAAATTATGCCAAGATTTCCTTTTAAACTAAGTTATTTCACATAATACCGCCTAGTAGGAATTGTTTAAAGCTTCTAAGACTTTAGTTTAAAAATTCTAATAAATGCGACTGTACATGCTTTTTGGTTTTTAAAGTAAGCGTAACATGTATCTCTCTTTCGAAGAACATTTTTTACTTCGAAATTCGACTTGTAAATAATCCTTACTCCAATACTTATGAAACATATTTTTAATTCCAAAGCTGGTGTATATCAAATTAAATGTAAAGTAGACTGAACTATGTATTTTTTTGTGAATATCGTCTAAATAATCCTTTGTATTTTCATATAATAAACGAAAATTTGAGAAAATTGATGTTTTATTTTTTCTCATTCTACTTTTGTCTTTTAAAATTTTCATAAAATTAGCAATAAGCTATCAATAGAAAACTACTTTGTATTTCAGGAGAAAGAGAAGAGAATTTACTTTACTCTTCATGCATGTAGCAGTAAAGTACTATTAACAAAAAAAACTATATATGCATGTACTTATGCTGTTTGCGTATGTACTTAATTCAAATCTGTAGAAAATACTTTCTATGGATGGATAAATCGCACGGCCCTAGCAAACTATTGTCAATTGTCATACTTGTTTTATGGTTGATGATGCTTGTCATTTAAAACCATTTGTCAACGCCTAAGCTTGCGGCTGAATATTATCAGTAATTAACTAAAGAACTTAGAGAAACTTTGTATTTTTCGCACTTCAAAATACTAAAATAATCCCAAAATGGCCTTACATATCCCAAAAGCTCCGGGAGTTCCGCAAATGTTGAAAGATGGAGCACGGGTAAGTGTGCAAAATCATAACCAAAAACACTATCTTTGTCATGTGCGGCTGACCATATGACTAAATTTTTCGAAATCACAATTAAATTAAAGTATTTTTTTTGACAACATATACTTTTCCGTTTTTATTGTACACAAATACATGGCATTAACCACTAATTACACTACTTTTTATACACTATCAACCGAAATATGTAAAAGAATATACCTGTCTTTTTAGATGTTCTCTGGTCTTGAAGAAGCCGTCTACCGAAACATTAACGCTTGCAAACAGTTCGCCCAAAGTGTGAGATCTGCTTACGGGCCAAATGGCATGAATAAAATGATAATAAATCATATAGAAAAGCAGTTTGTGACTAGCGATGCGGGTACAATTATCCGCGAACTTGATGTTGAACATCCTGCTGCAAAACTGATGGTTTTAGCCAGTCAAATGCAAGATTCAGAAGTTGGTGATGGCACAAACTTTGTTATTGTTATGTCTGGTGCCTTATTAGAAGCTGCGGAGGAACTCCTGCGTTTAGGCGTTACCACAAGTGAAATAGCCGATGGATATGAGCGGGCGCTTGATAAATGCTTAGAAATATTGCCAGAGCTTGTATGTTATGAAATTAAAGATTGCAAGAACTTTGATGATGTAGCAAGGGGTGTCAAGCCATCGATCATGTCAAAACAGTATGGTAATGAAGATTTTATATCTGCTCTCGTGGCTAAGGCGTGCATTGGTATACTACCAGAGAAGACAACATTCAATGTTGACAATGTTAGGATCTGTAAGGTAAGCTATCTTTTGTTATAATAAAATAATTTAATTAATATATACCTATTTCTTGACTGCCATGACAAAGAAATTCTATTAAAAAGTTAATACAACAACACAAGCATAAAATCATATATAATTGGCTAAAGATTTCCTAAATGATACATTCTGACCACTCATGAGACCCATTGCCATTATGATTTGTATAATAAAAACTTAATCTTAAAATGTATTCAAAAATCATCAACATATCTTCAATATATTTACTCACAAATAAAAAAATTTTGTACTAAATAAAAAAAAATAGAATAATTCTCAATAACCTATAAGCCCATTGTAGTCTATATAAATATGATGAGATGTTTTATTTAGTCTGAACAAGACACTATATGAAACAAAGACAATTAACCTTATGCCTTTTTTGTTGTTTTCACAAATGGCCATAATTTGACATTTCAGATTCTCGGGGCTGGTCTTCTGCAATCAGAGGTATTGTCAGGAATGGTCTTTAAACGCGAAGTGGAGGGTGATATAAGTCATATAACCGAAGCAAAAGTTGCGGTCTACTCCTGCCCTGTTGATATTACACAAACTGAAACTAAAGGAACTGTTTTAATCAAGTCAGCTGATGAGCTCTTAAACTTCAGCAAGGGAGAGGAATCTCTGCTTGAAAAGCAGATCAAAGACATTGCTGATGCTGGAGTGAAGGTGGTTGTAGCTGGTGCTAAGTTTGGAGATATGGCCTTACACTATCTCAATAAGTTTGGAGTGATGGCAGTTCGTCTTAATTCCAAATTTGACTTACGACGTGTCGCTAGAACTGTTAATGCTACGGTAAGGAATATACCCTTTTATTCAAATTCACAACGGTGTAAGTTTGAAAATACAAATAAAATGGTTATTGCAATATCTAATAATAATCTAATTTTTAGAATCTCAAAATAATTACATACTTTCACAATTAGCAGCCACAGTTTTGCACTATATGTAATATCTATCAAGCCAGTATAACTATAATCTTCTGTTAGGTACAAACGTTCCAATTTATGTCTTATTTTCTTTATAGGTTTTACCAAGGCTCACAACACCAACCGCTGAAGAATTAGGATACTGCGACACAGTTCATGTTGATGAACTGGGAGACACAAGAGTTGTTGTCTTCAGCATGAACAGCGTAGAATCACGCATGTCCACTGTGGTTATCCGTGGTTCCACAGACAACTACATGGATGATATTGAGAGAGCTATTGATGATGGAGTTAACACATTCAAGGGAATTGCTAGAGATGGAAGGTAAGCAGTAAGCCTTTCCAATAAAAATATATGTACTTAAACTATATTATTTGTTTCATAATTTAACTTAACAATATCTGAAACTTAATTATTAAGCTCTATAATGTTAAAAATAAAATTAAATCGCATCTAGCTGATAGCTCAATTTGTGAAATGTACTAGCTAGATTTTTTGACAGTTGTGTGGAAACTGAATGAAATGAATTCAAATATATTTTTCAGTCTGTGTATTATTAACACTTCCCACCTACTATGACAGTCGCATTAATTTGGTAAAAAATGGTTATTTTTTACCAAATTTGACAAGGATTTTTTACCTATAGGTTCGTCGCGGGCGCAGGGGCGACAGAAATAGAGCTAGCTCAAAAGCTTTTGCAATACGCGGACACGTTACCCGGCTTAGAGCAATATGCTGTTCGAAAATTTGCGGTAGCTCTGGAAGCTATACCGCGGGCGCTAGCTGATAACTCTGGTGCGAATGCCACAGAAGTCGTCAATAACATCTACAACGCTCACCGGGTAAGAAGTTTATGTGGTAAAATTTAAATAATCTTCATAAGACCTTCATTCACAAAGAAATGAGATTGATTTCTTTGTACTTTAGTTGTGTGAACTGTTCAGCCTTTTGTGCCCAATATAGTAACTAGTTATTAACTTTATGCTGAAATTACCCCAAAAAGTGAGGTGAATAATATTTTGCGATCGTTCAAATTCAAAAAAACTTGTCCTGTTTTACAATACACATATAACTTCCAAGTTGCATAGGACAATAAATTAAAAATGGTATTGATGGCCATTTTTAACAGTCATCTGTGCTACTGAGTGTTTGTCACACTCAGCAGCTCTTGTTTTCGGACTAGATTAATACTCCTGTGCTACCACTTTACAGTGTTTTCACACCATTATTCATTTCGATTAATAAGTAATAGTACATTAATTTCTCTTCTGACACCCAAATAAATAATGCCATATATTTACAGGAGAATCAAAAATTCGCGGGCTTTGACATCGACACTGAAAACAACGGCGTCTGCGACGCTAAGGAAAAAGGCGTACTCGACTTATACCTCTTGAAGTACTGGGGACTGAAATACGCAGTCGGAGCTGCAACAACCATCCTCAAAGTGGACCAGATAATTATGGCGAAGCGAGCCGGCGGTCCCAAGCCAAAAGCGCCAGCGGGAAGTGATGACGAATCATAAATAACTCGAAATAAATGCTTTGCTATTTTAAAATATGAATACGAAGGCTGATCAAAACCTACAAAATATGTAATTTTAGAATTATATTAGAATTTGGACAAGATTCTATCAAACCGATAAATTTTGGAAATAATTTGTAGTCTTAAGTTGTGACGTCTTCGTATCTTAGTATCTTTATACAGATCAGTGTGACCAGCTGTTTTTAATAACCAACTAATAACTTAGGTTATCTTTGAAGTAAGTTAATTTCACAAACATATGCATTTAAGTTTATTTTTAATGTTGGTCACATTTTATTAACCGCTAATAATTTAGCCTAAAGAAGTATTTTGTTTATCACTATTATACTTAGCTTGTAAATTAATTTAACAAAAATAAATGATTTTAAAAAGCTGTTTTTGTGTTTTCACGTTCTATTTACGCAACTAAGATCATGGCGTACCTAATATTGTCAAATACATATATGTACATCTAATTCGGTAGCCTTTTATCAAGACATTTATAATCAAATCGAATAAAATGTCTAGAATAGCTTAAATGTATGTATGTATTAATGTACGCAAATGTTAAGGTTGAAATTACATTGCGCGAGAGGTGGTAAATGTCTCAATTGGTAAAGCAACAGCACGGAACGCTAACGATTACGAAGTCCTGCCCGAGTCGAAACTTTTATTCAATTTATTTAAGATTTTTAAATTATATTAGATTCAATAACTAGTTTCGTAGCTGTATAAATATTAAGGAAAGAATATAAGCATGTCGAAGTATACTGATACAATTTTTCCCAAGGCAGCTACTATAGTCACCAATCTATACTAATATTATAAAGAGGAAAGATTAGTATTTTTGTATGTAACTGATAAACTCAAAAAGTACTGGACCGATTTTAATAATTCTTTTTTCATTAGAAACTACTATATACTTTATCCAAATAAATAATATTCAAGACTGTCTCAATACCTGATGATTACTTTTTTAATTATTGAAATCGGACATGCCATTCAAAAGATATCATGAAATTAAAATAAAAATACATGCCGTCGGCGGCCGCCACGCCGCGCATCGAGTAACTGAGTAACTTAGTTTTAGTATTAGGAATCACACTTTGCATAATATTTGTTAAAATTCTTTTCAGAACTATCGCTTTGAACTTGAATATTTTCTTTTGTATTAATTATTAAGTAGTTTATTCTTAATTTCTCTGATTTAAAATAAATATCCTTCATAGCAATATGCCTAGAAGAAGAAGGTCGCAGCTGTCTAAGAATAGTTTCCAAGTGAGATTAGCAAAAGTTCGTCGTATTGGAGACTCTTCTTCCTAAACTGATCACCTGGAAAGTATTAGAGTGTACGCGTCCCAATTGCGAGCCAGACAATCTGTCGTAGAACGTTCAGGTTCGTCTTGCAGAACAAAAAGCGAGATCGTCGCAGCGACTTGAAGGAAATATTCTTAGGAATTTGCGAACGCGTTGCACGGGACTCTAACACTGAACGCTCGCAGCCGCTCCTGAACCAGCGAGATAGACCACGGTCGTTAATAGAGTGGACGCGCAATACATTTTTTTCTAATTTAGTGATTCATGGTGGTTTTAATTAGCATGATTATAATTTAAATATTTGTACTTATTTATGTCTACCCGTGCAAAGCCAGGACAGGGCCGCTAGTCTCTAATAATCGGATTTAGGAACACCTAATGGGAAATTCCGAAAAAGACATTAAGATGGCTTAACAGATAACACATCGATCAGATACTCAATTACATTACGATAGCACGTATAATAAATAGGAAATCAGAGAAGTTAGATCGCAATTCATCGAAATGAAGTCGTTCTTGGTAATCCTGGCTATCGTCGCTGGTGCCGTAGCTTACCCCATGAGCTACGAGCCCATACAACTGGACTACCATGAAAAAGTGGGCATTCCTATGGTAGATTACCTTCGCAGCGCGGAGGGGGCAACCGACTTCGATGGCGCAAGGATCGTTGGCGGGCAGCCCGTGCAAATCGACTCTCATCCGCATATCGTAAGATTTTAACTATAATTGAAAGATAATAGATACCTTGTTTAATAGACTGAAAAAACAATTCCACAATATTTTTAACAACCACGCGACGATATTAATCCAATGTGAATTGTAGTTAGGCATCCTACGCAATATTTCGCATTTGAATCCGTTGATGTTCTACTTTTATGGCAGGCCATACTACCTCAAATTTTGTTTAAACTCAAAGACACAACTTCGTTTTAACAGAACGTTTTATGTTTGAAATTGATTGTGAAGCTGTATGTATACTTAGTAGAAACTATTACCAAATCACCACAGGCTGGTCTGCTTATCGCCTTGACAAATGGCCTGACTTCAATGTGTGGTTCCTCAATTCTATCAAACACTAAAGTCGTGACAGCCGCCCACTGCTGGAGGACCCAAAGTGTACAGGGTCGTTCTGTGACTGTCGTGCTTGGTTCTTCCCGACTCACTTCTGGAGGTACCAGAGTCACCACCGCCAACGTCCAGATGCACTCGGGCTACAACACGGATCTGTTTAACAACGATATCGCCATCATTACTATGCCACACGTAGGGTTTAACAGTTAGTATGGAGTTATTATATAACCAGCAGGAGATATTGGCTTTGTTATTTCATGCATAATTTTTAAGCTAGAGAAATAGTTCTAAGTGTTGTAGAAAGCGAAAAGCAGCGACTTAGTTGCCAATAAACGAAATAATTTTATGATTTTCGAAATGTACCTATAGCACTTATTATGGTAGAACCTAATCGTATATCAGTTCTTCAAATTGTACTTCAGTTTTAATCAAAGTATTTTACTTATTTGAAGAATGATAGTGAGCCACATAAGCAAAAAATTCTTAACCAAATTTTTTTCTACATGGGTGGACGTACTTGGTTGTGTCAACTTTAATTACAATATTACAGACAACATTCGCGCGATTTCTCTGCCTTCTGGCCTATTGTTGAGCATGAACTTCGAGGGTATCCTCGCCACCGCTGTTGGCTACGGAAGGCTTCAAGACGGTAAGAACCTCAATCACACATTGTTTTTGTTAACTGGAATTAACATTTATTACTGTATTTTAGTACACTACAGATTTCGTGTTAAAAAATGTACTTTTCATCTACGCTTTAATTACACAAATCAGAGTACGAATAGTGTACCCACATCATACCTACGAGGTGAAACAATGGACGACAGTGAGTGATTTGAAATAAGACAAGGGCTTAGCTGTCTTATTAAGCCATTCAAGTCCATAACATTCCCTACTAAAAAAAATCTAAAATTAATAGTACCTACGTGTTATTCTCCATCTCCTACATTCAGAGCGTATAAGATTTATTTAAATTGGTGTAGGTGGCCAGAACAGCAACGACGCTCTACACCGTGTGACCCTGACGGTCATTGAGAACTGGATGTGTACCAACATCTATGGACCTGAACGTATCATCTCCTCTACTCTCTGTACAAGCGGCCAAGGCCGTGTCGGACCTTGTCAAGGGGACTCTGGTGGTCCACTTGAGCTCTCTTTTCAAGGCACGCGATACTTGGTACGTAGTTCTTATAGTTAATTGTTGGAGGTCTTTTGTAAACCTAGACTAATTTGTCCCAAAAATTATGGTGTCGTGTTTTCAATACTCTAAATAAGGATTTCATTTCTACTTTTTACTTTACAAATACAGATCGGTGTGACATCGTTCGTTGCTGCTCGCGGTTGCCAGGCTGGTCTACCAGCCGGTTTCGCTCGAGTCACCTCCTTCGCTAGCTGGATTAGAGCACGTCTCTAACTTTAAGATCCCATAAGTCATTAAGTACTGTGTTTAAATTAAATTACAAATAAATACTAAAATAACTATGCATAAAAAAGCAACGATAATAATCATAAGTAAGCATGTTTAACAACACGCAGTGGTTTTTTTTTTATTTCCTTCTTCTTATCTCATAATATCCATAATAATTAATGCTGAATCAGGAAAAAAGAATATGTTAACGTAATATATATTTTTGATAATAAGAACATTAAAGATAAAAGTCACAAAAATAACAATAAGTTTACATCATCATTATTCTTTAACACGAGTCAGAAATAAGAAACGGTTATTACGTAGTAAAAGTTTGCAAACTACAATCGTTTGGCTTTTAGAATTCCGTACCCAAAAGGATAAAATAGGAACCATCTTACTAATACTTCAGTATCTGAGCTATTTACATTTTTCTGTATGACATCAGACAGTATCACTATCACTTAAAATATGCTCAAAATGTCGGGTGTAAAAAATTAATAATAAAAAATAGAGATAGAAGTAGCACGTCTTTAGTTATTTACAACATAATATTATACTAGTAAGGTAAAAAGCGTTTATTATAATACGGCCGACGTCACTTGGCAAGTCTGAACAGAGGTTAGACTAACTTTGGCGCATACACTCGTAAAGAAAACTAATACTGCCATTTTCGTTACTGTTATAAATGAAAGATTTTACCTATAGCAAGCAAAAATAAAAAAACCAATAATTTATTCAAAGAGAATAAGGGCTACGAACACTTATCTTTCACTAAAATACAGAGACAAAACAAAAATATAACAAAAGAGAAATAATAATATTAAATTTAACAATAAACAATCGCTTTTCTAACGGACTGCGCTCAAGACAGAGATAACGAAATGAACGCCAAGGAGTGACCGAGACACACTACTGTTTACCGAATATGTACGAAGCTTTACCAAAGAACCAAATAGAGATGTCCATACGCGATCCTTGAGAGTGTCGTTTAATCGATTCCTATTAAAATTGAGAAAAATGGATCATAGAAATATAATTGTATAAAAAGCCCTGAAGAAGGTATAAATAGTAATTATATAAATAATAACTCATATTTAACTAAATCAGGTAGTTCAATAATGAAAAAAGTTTTTAATGATTTTATTTTCCTTTAAAGGTAATCATGGAATTGTATATTAACAACACCATTCACTGTGTTCATCAATCCATTTAGTACAATACATTATACGATTTAAAATCCATAATCTAAATCGATTACAAAATTTGATAAAATAAGCGGTCGATTGTGTTGACATTGAGTCAATCCTCGCTCTTACCACCGTTAACATCCTAAAGAACGTTTCTGTTCGCTTAGATCAGGCTTGCCAAGTTACGCCGGCCGTAATGTAAAAGCGAGAACGTGACAGAAACAAATTTTTTTTTTTTTAATAATATTTAATGGCCTGGTATGACAGAAACAAAAAAGAGCAGACATAGAGAAATATTAAATATCTATGGTAAAAAAACAAAGACAAAAATTACTCCATTATTTTCAATTCGACACATAAATGACAGTTCTTCAAACATAAAACTGTTCGACTTTGTTGAAACTGAGAACTAAATTGATTCGTATAAACGAACTCGAATAATCTAGTGCTTCGAATGTAAATTACAAAACAACTATTAAAGATAGGAAATATTTTTGCTGTTACTGATTGCATATATATAGCTGAAGATGTCATCTTACAAGGTAAGGTCTGCTTACTTTATTTGTCAAACATCATTCGAAAACATATATCGTATAAGAATAATTTTACTAATTTCAGCCGATAGATTCTAAGAGGGAAGAATTTCGTCGATATTTAGAAAGAGCTGGTGTTATGGACGCTCTGACGAAAGTCTTGGTTAGTCTCTACGAAGAACCTGATAAGCCAGAGGATGCTCTTGAATACGTAAGAAAGCATTTAGGTACAGACGGCGGCGATGACGAACTGGAAGCAGCTAGAGCTCGCATTGCAGAGTTGGAGGCTGAAAATGCACTGCTCAAAGGTGAAGCTGCCCCAACAGAAGGGTGAAACTACACTTAAATAAGTTGATTAATTGATCTCAATCATTCATGATCTCAAATTATTATAATTATAGAAAGACTTAACAAATTAATGTATATTAAGTTACCAAGAGTACTATTTCTGTTGATTGTGTGCATTGGGCACTATCTGTTCAATTTTATTCAATAAATAATTATAACATTTTCAGAAGTATTATTGCAATATGTGGGCAATAGAAGTTGCTCTGTATATAGTTTCTTTAAGACTTTCATATATTCCTTCATAAAACACTTAATGTAAATTAAATTATATTTCATTATTTATCCACTATATGTCAGCTTTTATCTGAATCTGAACAGAAAACAAATTTGTACATAAAAAAGATACAATCACATATGAAAAAAGAAGAATTTGTGGCTGATATATGATTTTATTTTCACATATATAGCAAATAAGTTATTTTCTACGACATTATTACTTATTGATCTATGATTTATGCAGTAGCGTTGATAAGTTCGGAGTACTTCTTGACTTTGCTGGCAACACTCATGTCAACATATTTGTCTCCGATGGAAACAATCATGCCTCCAATCAATGAGGGGTCCACAGATGCAGTAAGATACAGAGTCTCATTTCCTTTGAGGAATTTCTGAAACAATATAATAAACCAGTCAGTAAAACTTCATATGCTGGTTGGGTTTGAAAAAAAAATGCTTATACAAATGAAAGTAGGTCCTGTTGCCAAAACAAAGCCACAACAATCTTATTCAAATGTTATACATACTTATAAACTTTTTATAAGCACAAATTTTTAAAGTTGTTTTGGGTAAAGACAATTCCTCTGAGCAAATAATATTTGCATACCCATTTATAACAAGAAAATTATTAACATGTATTTTTTGTAGATAAGTTATGGTCTTTCATAATGTTTAAACAGGTATAGTTTTGACATCAAGAAATGAAAAGCTTTTGTTATACTCATTTTAGTTCCCATTTTTCCACAATATTACCTTTAGAGCAGCTTCCAAATTCTGTTTTTGGGCTGCATCCAAGGGTTTGGCAGTGATAACTTCGCAAGTAACCTCGCCACGGTGAGCAGCCATGATTGTCTTGAAGGCATTGATAATGGCATCTAACTTTCCAAGGCGACCATTTTCAGCCAGCAATCCTAAAAGATTGCTTGTGTTTGGAGACATGTTAGTCTGAAAAACAAAAACTTTTATGAAGTTATGAGCATTAAGATAGAACGAGTTCAGTTTGCAAGGGAATACATAAAGTAAAGAGTAGTACATTAAATTACTTTAAGTGTACATATAATATTTCAACAAACACTAAAGAATCTTATAAGAATTAATAAAAAAATAAAGATTGATAGATGTGTTCTATTCATGTAAGGTAGACTGATATCTTATATTTATTTTTAAGTACCTTTGATGCTAAATGCTTAAGAGCTTCTGCTTTGATGCTCCGTTTCAAAACTGGGTTCAAAAGAAACTCTTTAAGTTTTGCGTCCGTTTTAATTGATTTTTGGAATTGTGTGAGTTCCTTTTCAACCGCGTCCAAGGATTTATTTTTGGAGGCAGCTGAGTATAGGGCTGTAGCATATCTGCCATCGATACCGAAGACCTGAACTGGGGCTTTCACAAGCTGAGCTGCTGCTGAAGACGTGCTCAGCGAACGCACCTGGTTAGATTACGTAATAAATTATTTTTTAACTATGAAATCGTAAATAGTACTAATAAATGTGACGTATCACTTACCAGAATATTAGTCTTCATTAGTGACATGGTAAAATCTTCTTTTAAGTTTAACTTTAACAAATATAGTAACCTGTACCAACCACTTCTAGAAAATACAGCTCCAATCAAAAATCAAGATCCATTGATTGTCTTTCGCATAACCGAGAAATGTCAATGTTAGCTGTCAAGTCATCATGAGTCATCGCAGTCAGTCAGTTTTTTAACATAATATTATTTTAAAACATAAACATATCTATTTAATAAATATTGTTTTTTTTTTCAAAATTGAGGAAATTTCAAAAGAACTACTAATTAATACAAACAAAATAAAAAGATACGGGTTGCATTCGGTTAGTGCCCTAAAAGTATCTTGAATAATAACGTTGTGCATTTTTGATATTTTAGATTGGTCAAGGAAACAAACTGCACGCAATGCTATTAGTATAGACTATCGGACATGACAATTTGTGACGTGACAACGTCTTATAATTCGATAGAGCTGAAAAAAACATGGCTCATGCGGCGTTAGGTCGCTCTGAGGCGTTCCATGTAAAGCTTGAAGTGCAAGCGAGAGCGCGGAACGAGCGACAAAGAAGCACAATCGGCCTTTGCGTTCAGCAGCGTTCGACATCGGTCTGTCTCAACGCACATTTATACAAATGCGTACAAATATCTAACTTGATCAATTTCATTGTGATTTCCAATTACCTCCTTCTCTATATACATACAAATCTATTAAACAAATGAAATTAAAATTTTCTTTTGAAAAATGCTACCATTCCATCAGTATTTTCTTAAGACATTGTCACGTTTAACTATCGTCAGTAAACCGACTTTACACACAACCAATTTTTTATTACATTATAAAACCATCATTTTATTTTCGAAATTTTTACTTGAGAACACGGTTTAACCTTAATGTCAGAACGTGAAAGTCAAATTGTTCATTGTCAATTGTCTTTGTGACAGTGACTTGTTTAGCCGCGGTTATTCCTTTCAATTCCTTCTAGCTATAAAAAAAATGTATGTGGCCACGCTATAGCTTTATCAGGTTATATTTTGGAATATTTTGTTATTTCGCAATTTGGTAACTAAGGAATATATCGCAAACAACTATAGTACCAAAAATATCGCTTACTTAACAAGATAAGTGTTTCAACAATGGCTTCTAACGAAGGCCGTGCTCAATCAAACTTGCATCAGCAAGACTTGTCCAAATTGGTAAGTGTGTTATAAGATCAAGAAAATAAAAAAGAAATTTTTGTTACTTTTTACTCTCAGCTCAAGGCGAACATCTTTTTATATTTACCTCTTACCATGACACTGCTTTACTTACAAAACTGTTGCATCATTATTATTCACTGACGTTTACCTAGAACTCTGCTCTCATGGGTATTATAAAAGTCCTGTTGAAATGCGTTACATACACATAATGTACATAAGAATTTAATAAAACTATTTTTATGTAATTCTCTTTTATTTTCTTACAGCTACACCAAAAAATGTGTATTATTGTTACTTAAGTTATTCATGTGTTTCAATTTTAGGATGTCACAAAACTCTCAGCGTTATCACCTGAAGTTATATCAAGGCAGGCAACCATTAACATTGGTACAATTGGGCATGTAGCACACGGAAAGTCTACTGTGGTTAAGGCTATATCAGGAGTACAGACTGTCAGATTTAAGAATGAACTTGAAAGAAACATTACTATTAAGCTGGGTAAGTGGAAATATTATAATTGATATACAACATATACTATATAATATCAGAGTTTACTTGAACAACATTTTTAAAACAGTACACATACTGTTTAAAAGGTGTTAAAAACAAAAATCTTACATATTCATGAATACCTTCTTTGTCACAAAATTGTTGTGATATCCTGAAATATCTATCTCAACAATATTGTAATTAAAAGCTGTTAAGAATATGTATCTATGATTTAAAAATTACATTGAGCTTTGTAAAATACCATGTGAATTGTTAAACTTATTCTGGTTATTGTAAATTTATTAAATTGTTATATTTTTCTAAAATTGTGATAATATAAAATTAATAAATTATAATCAATCACATGGTATGTTGCAGAGCGCGTATCAGACACACTCATTAAAATGTTTCGTGAAAGACGTGATGAAATTGAAGAAAACAATTTTCAAGAAAAAATAGGAAGAGCTAATAAAACTAATTTGCCATCGGACAATGAACTAACCCCAGATAAGCCACCTGCTAAGAAACGTAAGAAGGAGAAACAAGATCCCCAAGAGTTTATTATTGAAAAAATTTTAGATTTCAAATTTAAGGATGGTAAAGAATATTTCTTTATAAAATGGAAAGGATGGCCTGATGATGATAACAGCTGGGAACCATTAGAGCATCTAGATAACTGCCGTGATATTCTTAGAGCATTTTTATTAGATGAGGAGCAAAAGCACTGCAGGGAACTCGATAAACTAAAAGAGTCTATATCCTTTGATCAGTTGTTAGCTGAAGACAAGTTCGCTAAAAGGTTAGATGAATTTGGAAAGGCTACTTTAAAGACATTAAAAGAAAAGCTTCTAATAAAATTATTAAGCATGAGGACATTAAGAGTAGAGGAAGAAAAATATGTTGTTGACTTAGTTCAAGATGCACGGGACACCTTACAACTATATGTGATGACAAGAAAACGATGTCGTCAACTCATGGACTTGCAGCAATGGGAGGAGTACCTGAATCAAGTCGACAAAGTTAAGAAATTGTCAGTAGTGAATGAGTTTGATTTAACTGGACCACCAGACAATTTTCTTTACATCAATGAGTGTATTCCAGGTGCTGGAGTAACTATTCCTTATGATCCCCCAATTGGCTGTGATTGTACAACTTGTAACTGCCGGTCGAAATCATGCTGTGGTATGCAGGCTGGCTTATTTGCTTATACTACTAAAAAAAGGCTTAGGGTTGCACAGGGTACCCCAATTTATGAGTGCAATAAGGCATGTAAGTGTTCTTCTGAGTGCAACAATCGGGTAGTGCAAAGAGGTAGGAGCATGAAACTGACTATATTTAGAACACCAAATGGTTGTGGTTGGGGTGTTAAAACTGAACAAAAAATTTTTCAAGGACAATTTGTTTGCCAATATGTTGGTGAAATTATTACATTTGAAGAAGCAGAGAAACGAGGCAGAGAATATGATGCCAATGGCCTTACATATTTGTTTGATTTAGATTTTAATTCTACTGAAAATCCATATACAGTGGATGCATGCAACTTGGGGAATGTATCACATTTTATCAATCATTCATGTGACCCCAATTTAGGAGTCTGGGTTGTTTGGGCTAACTGTTTAGATCCAAACTTACCAATGCTAGCTTTATTTGCTATGAGAGACATAGCCGCTGGGGAAGAAATTACCTTTGACTACTTACAAAGGAGCTCTGAGAATGATGAAGAACGTTCCGCTAAAAAAAACCAGAGAGTGTCAGTTGACTCTAATCAAGGCCTTCCAAGTCCATCAGATGGAACAACATCCATTTCGCCGGTTTCTCCTGTGAAGTCTGGCCTTAATCAAAATAGATCTTTACGACAACTCACAGAGTGTAAATGTGGTGCGGTTAAGTGTAGGAAATACTTGTTCTAAACTGGATCTTGGCATTTCACTCTTTTATGTATTGTAATGATATTACAAGCTGACATATTTGTTCTCAGTTACATTACCTTAGTAGTGACATATGTTATTTTTGTTAAGCTCAGTTCTGTTACTATTTGACAAAGAAGCCTTTCATGTTTTTTGAAATGAAGTTTGTACATATTGATTGATATCAAAAGAAAGGTCTTGGGAGCACATTACAATAAATATATAAAATTATTATATAAGATTTTAGAAATCCAAACAAATTATGGCACAGGCTCATTACTACAGCGTTGGACATCACTCTTCCAGTTGACACACTGGCCGTGGTTTCAATTAGGTACTTCTTGTGTCATAATTACTCTATCTCTGAAGTTAAAAAAGTTGAAGTATTCTTGTTATAAGATTGTGTTATACCTTTAAGAAATTGGTATACTTCTATTTTTTAAATAATTGTATTATATTTTATTAAAAACTGACAGCTCTTGGAATAGAGGGTGTAAACGACAATATTGTAAAAGTAATAGGTACATTATAGAATATTTTCAATGTTTTTGAATGGTTTTTTTTAGATTGCGTAATTGCCCATGATAATTTGATACATGTTTTAGAATTACTTTAGCTTTAAGGATATGTTGTATGTTATTAATGTAATATGGTTTAACAATTTACGAAATTTGTAAAAACATATATATACTAGAAAGCTTTGTTTTATTGACACTGACTGCCTGATTACTATTTACAAAATGTGCTTGCAAAAATATTTGCTGCTTTGCGATTTCATTATTGTTAATTATTAGTAAACGAGAATTAACGATATCGTGAAGGTCATACACTCGACACAAGAGGACAGACAGGCTTGGCGTTTACTTGATGAAAGACGAAGTGCCCCAGCCCTATACAATCTTATCAAAGAGATGTCTTTGGTTTGCATATTTGGAAATCCACAAACCGAAACTCTAATTTTCACGTTACGTTATGAATTTTTACATGTTAAGGATAATGAATTTTTTTCGTTCATTTGCAAAGATGCTGGATCCAGTTTAAATCTAATTATTACTTATGAGTAGCTAGAACGAAGGTCTAACCTAGGCCAAAACCGAAGCCGATTAATCAGGTTTCGAGTTCATTTGAAAAGGTAGGACGTTTGGATCCACTTAGGTTACGAATGTGACATAAATAAACTGGTCGATGGCGCCCGGTTGACGGCTATAGATAGAACTAAAGTAATTTTACACAAAATGTATTATTTAAATAAAATATTTTACGGTTTAAAACGCGAAATAAAGTAGGTAAACTTATTTGGAAATTCTTTTAACCAATATATATGGCGTTTTAAACCGTTAAAATGTTTTTATTTAAATGGGTACTACTCGCGTAAATTACAGACAATACAAAATATATTAGATATAATTTTTTACTATCAATCTATATTATGTCCATCGCCTTATCGTAAAACTTAATATCATCTCTAGGTTACGCCAACGCGAAAATCTACAAATGCGACAACCCAAAGTGTCCCAGACCCACCAGCTTCATATCCGGAGGGTCTTCGAAGGATGACAGCTTCCCCTGTCTGCGACCAGCTTGTTCCGGCCGGTTCCAGTTGATCAGACATGTTAGTTTCGTGGATTGTCCTGGGCACGACATTCTTATGGCCACTATGCTTAACGGAGCGGCCGTGATGGACGCCGCTTTGCTATTAATTGCTGGTACGTGCCTTGGCAGGTATTGACCATATTTGCAAAATTTATTAAAATTGGCGTAGTAGTTAAGGCGCACAAAATTCCTCTTGTCGAATTATTCTATCGGGGAGAGCTATAGAAGGCCGGGTGATCTAGTCCACACCGTCAGCTGACCATTTCACCCATAATTGTCGAATTAACAAAAAGCATCTTAGTATAGCTACAGGTGCCTGAATGAATGACAATCATTTATAAACAGCGGGGATCGAACCCACGGCCTGTTGATTTTCAGCCATAAATTGCTACTATTAGATTAAAGAGTCCGACATAAAATTTATATTTACTAGGTATATATTGAAATTTTATCTTTAATCAAATCAATATATTTCAGGAAACGAGTCGTGTCCCCAACCACAAACGAGTGAACATTTGGCTGCCATCGAGATCATGAAGCTGAAGCACATTCTCATCCTGCAGAACAAGATCGACTTGGTGAAGGAAGGCCAGGCCAAGGAGCAACACGAGCAAATCGTCAAGTTCGTGCAGGGCACGGTCGCCGACGGTGCGCCTATCATACCAATTTCGGCGCAGCTCAAATATAATATTGAGGTATGAGGACTTTATAGTGAATGAATTAGATGGATAGTGATAAGACTAATTTTTCATCATCGTCAGTATGCCTTTGCAAATTATTTTGTTAAACCTAGGACATCCTAATAATTACCTCACTCCAGCAGAAGTACAGATTTGATTTAGTTTGAACTTATTTGATTGTTTTAACTACGGCCCAACGTTTTGGATGCTTTGCAGCAGCCGTGGTCACGGGGAGCCGCAGTTTAAATATTTTTTTAATAAGTTTAATAAATATATTACGCGTTTTAAACCGTTAAAGTTTTTTATTCATATCTGTACTACTCGCGTAAACTACAGACAATAGCACACTCATCAAAATCTTTCGTTAAATCATAATCTCAAATGTGTGTCCCTAATAAAAAGTAAAAAATGCACTAATATTTCCTATTTTTATTTATAGTCACTAAAAATCCCACTCCATTTATACACGCACTACTTATTCACCACTTTTTACATTCTCAAGAACAGTTATCGCATGCATAAATATTAAAATCTGTCTTATTGAATTTAATAAATCGTTAAAAATATATATAATTATAACTAAACCTTTTTTGCCTTTAATTTCGTCTGAAATATAATAAAAGCAACGTTCGGCAGGTTCTATGTGAATACATAACGAAGAAGATCCCGGTGCCCATGCGCGACTTCACGTCTCCGCCCCGCATGATCGTGATCCGGTCCTTCGACGTGAACAAGCCGGGCTGCGAAGTGGACGACCTGCGCGGGGGCGTCGCGGGAGGATCCATTCTACAGGGTGTGCTCACTGTTGGTATGGAGATCGAGGTAAAGTCGCTACATTAAGTTCATATATATATAGATTGGTAAATATTATTTTAATGCCAATAAAAATATAAAAGATTTACATTTCGTTTCTGTAGCTTAATGGTTAGACGCGTTAAAAGCTAGAAGTCCTGGGTTCGAATCCCGGGGAAACAATCTATTGTTTTGTCCGGGCAGGGCACAGAAGTCTGATCGACTACTTGCCTGTAAATATAACCGAGCAGTAAAATGGACACAGGAATGTGTTTGTCCCATGGCCCAGGGGAGGAAACGGGATTTCAGATTTTTTTACGCAACTTTCTTATTTTTATTGCTTATAGCACAGATTCTCTCACGAGAGATAAAGTTTAAGGGTCAGAGTTGGTGGGCTTTAATGACTACTACCACTCAATCAATAATCGTGACGACACGTCGCCCGATCCGGGACCTCGTGATTTCCATTTAAGTCACTAACCACTGCAGTAATTGAAACTTAGGTTATATATTTTATTAATAATTTCTTTGTAACTAATTGAAAATACCTACGTATTCCTTTATGCAAATACTTTGTTTCAAGGCAGTTATTTTTTTATTATTTAATATATATGTAAAACTAAAGAAATGTTTGCAATTACACGCAGGTCCGACCCGGTCTAGTGAGCAAAGACGCTGAGGGCAAGCTTACGTGTCGACCAATCTTCTCCCGTATCGTGTCACTCTTCGCTGAACAAAACGAGCTTCAATTCGCCGCGCCCGGAGGCCTGATCGGTGTCGGAACTAAGATTGAACCCACGCTCTGTCGGGCGGACAGGCTTGTCGGTCAGGTAATGTATTATATTTATTGCGAGCCATCACGAGATAACTTTATTTACATGTGAAAAATATTGAAGTTTTAAAGCACATTGAATCTTAATTCGCCTTTTAAGTTTGAAATAACAATGCGCAAGAGGTGCAAGTATCAATGGGTTAAGAAAATTCGAAGATGCCGTGTAGGACACAGCAGCGCAATTGGTAAGACCAAACTGTGGCGTAAATTTTTCTAAAATCGATTTCTAATTTATACTTTATTTCTATAACTTTCTTTTTATTCTTAAGTGAAAGTTGCGTTTTTTGGAATTTAGGCGTTACAAGAAAAACAAGACCTGCTGTACACAATACATATATTATTAGTTTTCGTTTTTGAAGACGTATAATCCTACCTATTGCCTGGATTTACTAATTTTGATAAAATTGTATGATCGTCATGTAGCTATTATTCTAGATTAACACAGATTATTCTCATCAGCCCAAATGCTAGACACAAGCCTCTATACTACCTAGAAGTGTAATTTTTTATAGCTAGTTATTCAAAACTAGCTATGTCAGCGTCTTCGTCCGCGTAGAATAGTTATTTTGGGCATCCAAATTTGTTTTTGCAAACCTCTTCTCCATCTCATCGGGCGCGTCCCATCGCTCGCGATCCGTCGTTCTTGCAAGTTAATCTTATAAGAGAGACATATAGTGTTGATGACATTTTTTTAGATCATTTAAAGAGGAATCATTCTTTCATACATATTTTTTAGGTGTCTTGAACTGTTTTCGCAGCGTACCCATCTGAAACCTACAGAGATTAAGAATTACCCCGTTTTGTTCACATTTCCCGCTGTATCTTCGCTTCTATTAGTCACAGCGCGATGATTTATAGCCTAAAGCCTTCCTCGATAAATGCTCCAACCAACACAAAATTATTCAATTCGAACCCGTAGTTCCTAATATGAGCGCGTTCGAAGAAACAAACAAACTCTTCAGCTTTATATATAAGTATAGATTTTATGTCTCAATATAAATTAATTGTATGTAGGTACTCGGTGCTGTGGGTGCCCTGCCTGGTATATTCGTGAAGCTGGAAGTGTCGTATTATCTGCTCAAGAGATTGCTGGGAGTGCGCACAGAGGGGGACAAGAAGGCGGCTAAGGTGCAGAAGTTGACTAAGAACGAGGTAACTATGTTCTTTTTACACAAATATGTAGCTGAACCCATGACTTTGCCCTAGTGAGAAAGTGAAAAACAAAACTGTAATCAAGTTCTGGTGATTTCTACCAGGCAACCTTTAAGATGGAGAATTACAATAATAATTAACTATAGCAAGTTTATATGCTGAGAATGTTCTTAAAGTTTGAATTAATAATTAAAGTAATTTATCAAATCAAATGTACTTGAGTTTAATATTATGAATTCCAGGCGCTACTCGTTAACATTGGATCTCTAAGTACCGGTGGACGCGTGATCGCAACTAAAGCTGATTTGGCCAAAATCGCCTTAACTAGTCCTGTGTGCACCGAAGTCGGTGAGAAGGTGGCCCTCAGCAGAAGAGTAGAAAACCATTGGAGGTATTTCACGCTTAACTATTTTTATGAAACTTGGTGTGTCTTTCCGACCTCGGCCGTCAATTGAAAACTTAGCTTCAATTTTATCTATGACTGACTGCGTCCGCGACTTTTACGTGGAATATCTTGGGCATCCAAATTTGTCAAAATTATAGCAATTTATTCTTGACGTCGGCCATCTCCCGTTGTCCTTGCAAATTCATCCTAAAAGATAGACTGTCGCGGATATGTTTTTAGATCATTTAAAGAGGATAATTGGAGGAGAATAATATATATAAATTTGGATATCTTGAACCGTTTTCGCAGCGACGTATTAGAAACCCGCAATGATGAATAATTTTCTCCGTTTTTTTTCACATTTCCTGCTGTTTTTTCGCTTCTGAGATTAAACAAACAAACGCCTTAGCTTTATATCAGTATAGATAATTTTTGTATGGTTTGCAGGTTAATTGGTTGGGGACAAATCCAAGGTGGTGAGACAATTGAGCCCCTGAAGAATTAATAACAAAGCGCCACATTTCTACTGTATCTTACATATTTAATAAAATATATTATATACAGAGAATAGTTTTGCTATAGTTCTACTAGTATTTTAAAAATAATTGGTGCCTTTCAACTACCTATTCCCTACAAAATATGTGAGGAACCTGTAAGGACAAGTATCCACTTACTCACGAAATGGTTCACTGGGAACTAAAAAATAGTATCTTTGTACAAAGTGACAAAAAAAATTGCCATTACCTTTTGAGATTAGTAATAATTTATTTCATTTCATGTACATTTAGACCTAGGCCATGTATATAAAAGTATTGATATCTTCGTCGTCTCGGCGCATGTATTTGTGCTCAATTAACCATTCCAACTGTTCTTTTATCATCTTCTTTGAAGGCAAGAACATGTTCTTCAAGATCTCCACTAACTCGCTCTGAAACATCAAAGTACATATTTGAGAATTTTTCTTTATTTTCGAGAATAGAGATGTAGTACTCTATCTATAGTTTTGACTATATAAGCATGTATATAAGATTGTTACCTGTAACGCTGTGTTCGTAATGCGCTTTCGCATTTTTAGTATCTTTATAATCGCCTCCTGAGTCCTCAATATTCTTAATTGCACAATAGAATGATTATCTTCAATCTGAGATCGTTCCGTACTTAACTGCAGTCGCCCGATCAAATTGATTTTGCCTCTCCTCTGCGGCTTGCCATTTTTAACAAGCGCAAACTCCTGATTCACCCAAAAGCCTGTATTTTCTGTAAAGTCTTTCGGGTTCTGTACCGGGGGATCATAGGATAATAGCTGTCTTTTTAACTTGGGGAAAGCCACTAGGGACCATAAAGTTCTTCGCAATTCGGGATCAGGTAACTCCGTGGCCAGTCTTAAGTTCTCATACGTAACTTTATCCGTAGGTCGCTGATTCCACGCAAAAAGTACCGCCATTTGAAACGTGGTGACGTCTAAATCGAACCTACCCACGGAATTCGCAAAGGTTATCGTACCGTTGCTCATGTGATGGTACCACTGTAGTTTTCTACCGGAATGCTTTTTCTTGTAAAAATCTTCCACCTCAGGAATGTAGTCTTCTAATTCTAGAGGGAGACTGACGGTTACCCGTTCGGAACCACGGGCCCAAGCGCCAGCGTTAAGTATTTTGATATTGATCGCGTCGTGCCGCGTCGTTTCGCCGCGAAATTGCGTGTTGAGGTCCTCACTGACTTTAATGTCTTGAAACATTCGAGCTAACTTATTGACGTAATCCGCCGGCATCCCGACCTCGCGGAGCCACTCGACCATGTCCTCTTCCTTTTCAGAGTCAGCACTCGAGTCCAATATCAAGCGACGCGTCAGATGTGCCTTATGATACCTCATGAATACGTCCTTATTCTCGATGTACTTAAGGACCAACAAGACGTCCTTCAGTCTCGATTCGATTTGATCACTAGTTAAGCGTTTACTTAAAGGAGTTTTTCGTAACAACATATCACAGTAATTTGCAAGCAGTTCGGGGCACTTGCTCTCCGGCGCGGTGCCTTTCGTGCCGCGTAGGAGGGCAGATGACGGTAATTCTAATTTGAACACTGTTGTATCATTGACGACACACTTGTAAGCCTTGTCTCTGGCCGTAAGGAACCTAGGATCATCTAAGAATGCATCCTTAACTAATGAACTGAACCGTTTAAATAGGTCGAGTAATCTTTCCACATACTTTTCTGAATCTGTGGTTATGATATCAGCCGAAGCAACCATGTCTGCTAAACCAGCAGATACAATGTGGGCTTCTAGATCCCGTAAAATTGGTGTAACACCATCAGGAATCCTATCCAAGAGACGGAACATTAACTGTAGTTTTTCAGTTTCACCAGCTTTGATTAAAGGTGCACTTTCTGCTAGAAGATTTGGCATATGCTCTCCAATGAGAACCCTTTCACAACACTGTGTTAACGCAGCAACACTGCCACTACCAGGTTCTAAATACCTATGAGCCCTAGCTTCTTCCTCCTTTAAGCGTAAGTCTGCATACTTCATATATGATTGTACACCATTTGTTAAAAGATGTTCGTTAGCTTTAAGCTTGTAAAACTCTTCAGTAGCTTGCATGTAGGCAGCCTCAAAGTTTTCCCTATATATCTGCAACTTATCAGTAGAATTTGAACATAGATTTACTGAAAAAGAAAGATATAAATAGTCAGATAAGGTAATTCACAAATATTTGTAACCTAAATCATAAATACAAAAAGATGAAATAACAAATTCATCCCTTAATAGTGATGCTTAGATGTAAATGGCATTTTATAAGATAATTCTCATTGGTCATTTAAAAATATAATTCAATTAAATTACCCAAAAGTGCACATGATGTTTAAATATTGAATATTTAAAGAAACATTAAATTCTTTTACAATGTCTTCTATCAAATTACTTTGTTAGTATACAGGTATACTTTCTAAAAACTATATTTTTAACATCTTACCATAAGATTCACGAACTCCAATAACTAGTTGAGAATCAAATGATTCACCATTTCTCTCAGCCTGTACTAGTTTCATTGCAGAATCTTGAAGCCTCTGTTTAATATCCATGAATATACTTTGATTCCAAGAGTCCAACATTAACTTACGTACCAAACTGTCCTCAACATTATTGTTATTATTCTTTTTTTGAGAATTAGAGACATTCGAGCTGCTCACTTTGCTCACATTGTTAAGAGAGTTCTCCAGTTGACGAAAAGGTGTAGGCAAATAGTTGCATTGCGTGAAGAATTTGCCCCATTCAGCAATATAGGCTTTCAGTAGTGCCTGGTCTTCCCGCTGAGCAAGAACCCGGGCTTGCGCTTGTTTGATATACATCATGATGTCTTGTTGCAACGCATCTTTTAACTTACTAGGACCTCTCTCGTCCCAAAGACACACGGAATGTACTGACCCAAACAAATCTTGCCATTCTATCTGTGTGACGGCTTCTTGCTTCAATAGCTTTAAGACTATCGGTCGCATCGAGGGCCACTTGTCTTCAAAGGTGACCTGTCCCTTATCCTGTAAGATCACGACAAGGTTTATACCAATACGGTTTCTAAAAATAAATTTAAGTTATCGCGAATCTCACCTTTAACATGATTGATAACAAATTATTCGTGGGATTATAATATAAATGATCCTATCATAATCTAGAAAATATGAACAGATTTTGTTATTATTTGCTAAATTAAATACCTATTCTTAAAAATATTGTAAAATTATTTAGTTAGGATTCGAGAATTCAAAGACTAAGTTGACAGATACAGTTAATTTCTAATTTTCATGTCATGTTTGACGTTGATACATTAATCTGTAGTTTTTAATTTTCGTTATCCTAAAGAAAATATTACCTATATAGTCTGTAGTTTCAATGTAATCTTTGCCTAATAACCCATTTTTATTATCACATGAAATGTAATAATATAATATATAAATTTGAGATACATTTTTATTATTTTATTATACATAAAATATGGACACATTCACACAAGGCATAATATTTAAATCGATAGATCCTGGAATTGACAGTTATCGATTTTATAAATTAATATGACATATCACTTTTAATTTTTTCAAATTGTGACAGATTTATAGCCCAAGTTTAAGTAAATTTGTACACAACAATTTATTTCTACATTTAATTTCAAAAAATGCATTGTCATTACATCTCGTTACAGTAAACAAGTCCGAATACTTATAAATATATATTTAACTTAAATTTTAACAAAAGTCACGATGAGTTTATTTGGAGAAGTAGTTGAACCGGGAACAAGAACTGCTTGGGAAGATTGGGATGACGCAGGACCACAACATGATATCCCTGAGTAAAATACGTTATAATTAATATTTAAGTATTCACAGCCAGACTTAGCTTTCTAAGACTTTTAATATTTGTCAAGATAATGTTATAATATCAATATTACAAAAATTTACACTTTTCCGCGAATCCCCTTATTAACTGTGTATAAAGTTATTTAAATTATATATTATTTTTTAGACTAAAATGGAACAATGCTTTGGAAGTACCAGATGTAATAGACCTTCTTATTATACTAGATGGAAAATATGTATCAGACACTTTACAGCTACACTCTCAAGATTCTGTAGAACTACTAAACACTGTTAAAGAAGCAAGTCTAAGTCTGTACAAAATAAAATTGAGAAATGCATACATTTGTATCTTAAAAGACTACAATTTACTTTTAAGTGGAGAAATAGTAGAACTACTCAGAGATTTTGTTGAGAAAAGCAAAGATATAATATCAGTTTTAAAAAAGCCAGTAGCTGATTATCAAACAAGCAGTCTTGCATATCAGCCATGTATCATTAGATCTTTGACAACAACAGTCAATCTTACTAATTCTTATGGCCTGGAATTTCCAAAACTGGAGCAGCCAAATATCCTTTCCGGTGTGGGGGCAGGAGGTAAGAATATAAACCACAAAATTAGGCCCATGTTTTACACAAAAAATATTTTTTTTTACTTTTAATAAGTACATGCTTTAATTGTAAAGACAATTTAAATATTCAAAAGACATATTAACTATTGCAAACTGGATCTTTTTGCTGCTTCTGGATTAGAATGTTTTCCCTATTATAAAAGTTACTATCTACACTTACTGATAGCACTTTTTCCATCTTGTTCACCTTTGGTTGTTTGCTCTTTTGATATTTTGCCATTACAATTTTAAATCATAATAGAAACTGTTCTTTTACTCTATATTAAAAGGTATGTTCAAATAGTATGAACACTTCATATTCTAAAATGGGTTGGGGCCATTTTGCATTTGTATAAGAAATATATAGTATCCTCCATCTGTTTCAGTGTTGACTCTAAGGGAGCATCTTAGTTTATCTGCCTCACTTATAGTATACTATCTAGAATACATGGAGAGTTCTCAAATGGAGGAAATACATGGCCTTTTGCAGAAACTGGACATCTCTGTAGCTTCTAAACCTGCTCCCAGTAGTATCATAAACTCTAACCTCTATATATGAAACCTATGACATATTGCATATCAATAAAACATTGAAACACACTTGGTACTTTAATTTATTTATTAAAAATAATTTACAGTTAACATGTTTAACATAAATTCATTACATGTACAAGAAACTTAATATAAACAAATAAGCACAGCCTATTGAATCGCAGATTTGTTTGGTTAAAAACATGATAGAATAATGTAATGTTGACAAAGATAAAATAATATTTTTGCATAGGCAAATGTTGTACAGTAAAACCGTTTATAATAAATTATCTAGCATTTATTCAAAACGGTTTAGATATAAAAAAAATTTTAAACACTCTCGTATTTTGTTAGTTACTATTAAATATTTATGGGTTTGGTTTTTCGTAGCTACTAAGGTCGAAAAACTGAAATAATTTATAACAATTATCGACAAACTCTTATTCTTTTTTATAATTTTACTTTCTTTTTGCATATATAAATTGACGACGAAGAAATTGATTATTTATTTGAGTAAGTTTATGCAGTAAGCACATAACTAATTAATAAAAGGTAACTACTACTACCAATTCTAATCTACATAACTTAAAATATAAAACAAATATATCTTTTAAATTGTTTTAATGTTATACAGAAATAAATTTCGCTCTTTAAAATTCTTATATAATTCATTCCTTAAAATTCCATCCATAAAAATATATTACAGTAACAAATTTATAGAACACCCTTTGATAAAGAATATTGCCATATTATATAGGCCTTCTATCCGTTTGGTGAAAACATCTTATTCTAGCTGAGATAACCATTATTCCTTTAAGACTAACTTAAACATTGTCTTAAACCGTTATAATCACATTTACTTACTTTAAAATATCATAAAACAAAATTATCACACACCATTCACTTATAATTGATACGCTTATGATTATTTATAAAGACGCAACTAAATATTTTATTATTTTAAATACTACTTTTGTTTTCATTAGTTACTTGTTTAGGGTGATCGCAAAACGCTAATTTTTGTAAGTTTTATTTTTCAAAATATATGGCCAATCCCTACTTTGTTATTTTCTGCAATATTAATCATATATCTGTGGAGCAAACACGAAAAAAAAACTACTGAGATTTAAATACTGTCTATAGTTTACGCGAGTAGTACACATTTAAATAAAACACTTTAACGGTTTAAAACGCGATATATTAGTTAAACTTATTTGAAAATGATTTTTAACTTCGGCCCGACGTTTCGGATGCTTTGCAGCAGCCGTGACCACGGCTGCTGCAATAAGTTATAATATAAGTTTAACTAATATATCGCGTTTTAAACCGTTAAAGTGTTTTATTTAAACTACTGAGATTTTTTAAATACAGACATACTGACTGGTTACTTAATATCAGCCAGTAAGTTTTTCCAATTTCCATATATTTCAATTCAAAAAGTCAGTAAAGTTATTTTAAGGCAGATATACAAGTTACTGACGGGAGGTGACGTGACAAATCAGAAGAGTATCGGTCTAATACATTTTGTATGAAGTGTTCAGACATGTATGTCGTGACTGTTCTGACCAGGAGCGACTCTGTGTCAGTGCTAAATGTAAAATCGGCCATACAAAGAGGTTTATAAATATGGTTCCAAAATATGCCAGGAACAATCGAGAATATCTAAGTATGAGTAAGAGTGACATGTAAAATTCGTAAAATATTTTTAGTGCAATAAGAAGCCAGGGCCTTAAAAAATATTAAGATTTTTAAAAGGTCCTGGCTTTTCATTTTTGTAGGGAACGTATAAGATATACGACTGTATTAAGACAGTCGTGTATCTTATACGTTGCCTACAAAAACTGACATTTCGTGCGCTCAAATTAAAGCGGTAAATTTTTAAATTTAGACACTATATATTAAGTGACGAGAACAAAAAGCTAAAGTTTAACAAATCTATGATGCAAAAATATAAATGCAATAAAACATTGACTCCAAATACTAATGGCACAGCTTCGCTATTTCGCAAGTCGTTATAACATCAGAATTTGTGGACAGAGAAAAAAGCTTGTCAAAAAGGTAAAGGTGTGTTACCAGTCAATATGTTAAACATTTAAGTGTGAAGTCCACGTCATATTTGATCAAACAACATATACATACTATGTAAGGTGACGATTTTGTGATTAAATAAAAAACTTGTAACCTGTTACACAGTGGCGAAACTATAGGGTGGCAAGTCGGCAAAATGCCACGGGCCCCAGGCCGAAGGGGCCCCCGGTCAGAGGAAATCTCAATTGTTGGTTAAGCTTCTTTATATATTGGGGAAGTGGGAGGACCCATTCGATGAATTTGCCACGGGTCTCGAACGGTATAGTTACGCCACAGCTTTTACAATAATTTGACATTGCCTTCCACCACCTTGGTCGGTAATAGCAAATATATTCCGCATTTTACCCGTTAAAAGTTTTGAATTCAATGTGTACTCACTTTAGCTATAGACAACGTTTTTTTTTATATATAATAGCTCAATAACACGAATAGGTTGTTACTTAAGTTTATCTATATCCTAATACGAATATTATAGTAACCAGTAAATTGGTGTTCAACTATTTAAAATTTGCACTTTCCTTTGCCCAGTAATATGAATTTACGCAGACTACATAAATTACAACTTTGTATTGTATTTATTATGATAGGTTAGATATAATATATAGATTCGATTATACTACTTGTGCACTAATACAAACAATTCTTGCCTATATATTAAATTTAAAATACTTAAATAAAATACTTTTATCGGTTTTTAAACGCGATATTTGTTAGTTAACTTATTTTTCGTTTTAATTAATCTTTTACCCCACCTCTTGGACGCTTTGCAGCAACCGTGGTTACAACGAGACAAAAAATATTGTAGTTTCGTATGGTATGGTACATTTCTAAGGTAACGTGTAGCCTTAAAAATATTTTAAATAGAGGGGATTAAGTACAGTGCACAAGTAATAAAATGTACGCATAACATACCTTCATAAAAATATTATTTGATTTATACCTGTTTCACAGAAATTAGTAGGTACATGCGAATTTTAAAGGGAATTGCACAATTCAGGTCCCAGATGGACAGCGGACTCCAGAAAAATAATTTTCACATAATGGTATACTGAATAAAAAATATTGATTTGAAAACTTTAAAAACTCGCAACTGAAATCAGAAATTATAATGAGTGAAAGTTTTTTTTAGCATTGAAAAGCATTTATTAGTTCACTTACTGTGTAGAGAGCGAATTCCCCTTTAAATACATATTATAAATATAGCTTTTTATAAATAGTTTATCTATCTTTACAACAGATTGCAAAATAAATGATTTGGCACTCAGATTATGTTACAATATTTAAAAGTTGTAGAAATATATCATGAACGTTTAAAAAGCATCAATCGAGGTATTATCAATTATTAAAAATAATCTATTTGCGCGTCTATGGCGTCACTGCTTAAAACTATTTATGAAACTTAAACGTTAATGTTGCCAACCGCATAAAAACTTAAATATATAACTTTGAATAGATGTAATATAAACAATATTGAAACTTTAACTAACGATAAATTACCACTATTTGGTTTAACAGTATGTCTATATGCTATCACAATACCTAAAATGGCAAAAAGATTTCGTGTCAATGGTTATAACTTACACAAATGTTTCCGTTCTATATAAAGCACAATTCCCCTTTCAAATTCAAAATCATGTTTCAATTGAAAACATTATTGACTTTTTTGGACCACTAAAAGCATTTAAAATGTATTTATGATGTATCAAAAATAATAGAACTATTTTCTTTAATTATATGTAATATTTTAAATCTGATAATTGGTATATTTCTCAATGTAAATAATGAAGTCTTAGGTCCATTTTTATTTTCATGAGAATGATATATAGAATGAAGAGAAGTGGTCCTATAAAAACACCCTGTTAGATCCAAGCCGTTTACATAAGTTATTACAATTGACGACAGCATTACAGTATGTACTCTTAGTTGCCTTGCGAAGCTCTAATGACTAAAATGTATTTGAATTAGTTCATACAAAAATAAAATTGTCTTGGACAATAGGTATCATATGAGATATTCGTTAAATAACTTTGGAGGTACATAAAACAGCCTTACGTTTGCAAACTTGTTTAGGGCGAGCCTATATATCGTAGAGGCCGCCATTGTTTTGTCCCGCGCGGACCTTGTCCAGCACTTCGTTCACGAATTCTGACGTCTTGCCCGCGATTTTCACCTCTGTGGGTAGGAAAAACGAATATTAACATTTTTTTAAATAGGAACTAAATATTATTTCCCATTAAGAAATGTTTAGGTTAGCACCAATTTAGGTTAAATAAAAAATACCTGTGGCCGTATTGACGATGCCGTTGAGGTGTGAACTCCACTCTACTTTGGTTTCGGGATTTGTCACGCGGCTGCCTATTACCTGCTTCATTTGGTGTATGCCGTTTATAAGACGCTCTAAAAAGGTTTAATAGAAGCCAAAATTTATTCAGTGAATAACCATTACTGAAGGATTACATAAGCAGGTATATCAAAATTATAATGTGTGCATATTAGAATTAATAAAAAAGAGGGCTTACTGTGTTCCTGTTGCAGGCCATACAATTTAAGTTTGTTGGCTTCGTGTTGCGCCTTCTTCTTGAGCCTGCACGCTCGCGAAGCCAATTTGTTTTTCTCTTTCCTCGTCTTCGGTCTGACGTTAAAAGGCAACTCGCTGACTGGAATCATGTCGTTTATGATTTTGCCCAAGTTGTCCAGTTCTAAGCCTATGAGGTATAGTTTTCTGGGGTTTGGAGTCAGGTCGTTACCGTCGCCTTTTCTTGCTTTTCCACTGCAAACGAATAAAATTCATCAATACACTACATTCTGAGTTGCTTATGTGTATGTGAAAGTATTAATCACTAAAGTTCTCCACCTTCTCTAGTTATGATAATATTACCTGTGCTTTATGCCCTTAACATTACAATTTGGACTAAAGACAGGATCCGTGACAGAGTTAAGGACATGTGGATCTTCAGATTTCTTCTTGAGCACCAACCTCTGACCCTTTGGACCTTTTGCTTGGACATTGTACTGCCAGAAGTATCTCTCCTTCTTAGCTGCTTGCCTAGCTTCTTTTTTCTCTGGGCTTTCATCGTTGGACTCTGAAGTAGTTAAAGAATATTATTTAATTATATGTATAATATAAGTAATTTATTTAAAATAAAATATTTATTTTAACCATTATTCCTTTATATATTTATTTTGCATTTATGTCACTTTGATCATAATAAATGATTATTAATTTACACGTCCTTATGCTAAAAAACATACTCGACATACCATCCGATGATAGGTCCTCGTATCTGTCGCTGTCCTCATCAGATTCTATATCCCTGTCATCTTCGTCTTGCGAGAAGTCTCCAGTCCCTGGACTGAGGATCCCGCCTGACAATGAGGACATGGAACCTGCTTCTGCCACAGAACTTGTAGATAACAGATGTTTGCGCGGTTCCCGTCTTTGCCATATCTGGAAAAATCCCAAAAACTAATAAGTTATAGTACAACCATCAATGGCAAGGAAAATTGTATTTAAATTTGATAACATTGTTATGTCAGTTATGTAGATTAAGAATCTTTGAGGGGATTGTAACTTTTCTGTAGATGACCTATAGTGATCCTCGAGATGTTGTATTATCAATTCATGATGTAAACCCACTATTTTATTACTAAGCATAATAATTATTATGTTATAACGTCATAATAGCGTTGTTATTATAAATATATCGTTAAATTAAATATTCATTACAATCAAATAAATTACTAAACAAGTTTTTATTAGGAGAATGATTCACAATATTTTTGTGATATCTTGTAGGAATTTATTTTCCTATGCAATTTTTTTTATTGTAAAGTGCTTAATATATTTAAACTTCAGTAGTATGTTACCCATATAAGTACAAACGTGTAACAGACGCATTTTAAAATTAAATATCGATTTTTGGTTGACAAAATTTTACGATACAGGCAGGATTTAAACAGGCAGCCACAACGTTCAACGTTACGTTCCTCTTGACAATTGAGCGCCATGGCAAAATCAATTTTGAAAAATATTAAATTTTTCAGCCTTATTTATTTTTCAGAGAATCATTTTATATATGTACTTAAGAATTCACTTAATAGCTTTAAGAACTGAGCTACATATAACCATTATTAGTTTTTCAAATACTAATGCATATAAATTAGTATATAAGTATGAATAATTTTAAATCACCCATTATGAATAGAGATAAGAATAATTTCTGAGAAAAATACCATAACAAATGTAGATAAATGGTATTTTCTATGAAACATGTATTTTTATATACTTGTTTACTACTTCAAATGCATTTTATCATTTTAATGTATGACTAAGAATAGATTTCAAATAATAATAATTATTTGACAGAGATTAAATATAAAATTAAACCTCCCAATGTGTCTTAAAACAACTTAAATTGTCATAAACATAGTTTTGAGTGTGAACACTAAAAAGTAAAATATTTTGAAATGTACAGTTTAAATTACATTAATTGCTTTCTAATAGTATTTACCTGATCTAAAGACAAATGTGTAGGTGCTGATGAAGAGAGTTGTGACTGACTTTTGACATTTGGTGGGAACGGAGGCAGCACTGAAGAAGCAGGTACAGACTGCCCTAATGCTATTTCTCCACTATAACCATCCATACGTAGCAATAGTTCTGGCAACTGATTTGTGGGCTGAGCAAAACTTGATGACGCAGAGCTGTGCTGACTTGAAGGAGAAAAAGCTAACTGGGCCCTGCTGTAGGGACTGCATGGGCTCTCTGAAGCTAAAGGAGCCGTTTGCAGATTAGTTATGCGTCTCCCGCCACTCATAGCACCACCTATTTGTATACAATATTCACTTTCTTCAGGCATCAACAAGTCTGCGAAATCCAAGTCATCCAAAGATGTATCCGGGTTCGCATTTAACTCTGCCAATGTCGGCCCCAAAATTAAATCCGCCTTATCCACTTGAAAAATATCATCATCCTCCATTTTAAATGGTTCTATTTTATTTGTAGTGTCCGACTCGAAAGTGTACTTGTTGTACTGCAAAGTGGGTACACTGTGGAAAGATCCAACTTGGTTGTCTTGTAAACATAGATCAATCTCAGAATTCAAGTCGCCAAAATCTGATCGCCTATTGGGTATAGGTACAGAAGCTGACATGGTAGCTAACTCGAAGGTTGACTCCTGTTTTATATCAAAATTCGAATCTAAAAGAAAGTCATGATTGTAAATAGATTCCGACATTGCACGTGTTTATATAGATTGACCTTGGACGTAGAATCGCCTCAGTCAGTACACAGGCGCGCGCTTACGTCTTTATCGATTTTAATTCAATGAGGCCCACGTGTCGCTTACAATGTTTATTATTTTGTTTGTGTATAACAGCTATACGACACTAACACTGTTACACATTGTTATGAAATTAATTAACTGGGTCAATTTCATCTTACAATTACATAATGGATCACTAACACACCACACTATTAAAACCCACTTAATTATACACGATGACTTTCGATATTGTAACTATTTAGAGCATAGATTAGACATGGAATTATAGCATTTGGATTGCCCTATTTCAATCACTTAATCGCAAACGACACCAATTAATAATGTATTCAAAAGCTTGTACACTTTTCCTGACGAAAATTTGAGACACAATAACAAAAACACTTGCACGAGATTAGACCAGTCGAGAAGTAAACAAAGATTTCTCGATATTATTATTCAGCATATTCAAAGGTCATTAGAACGCGAAGGAAATACGGATTGTCTAGATGTTAAAAAGAGATAAGTGATTTGCCAATCTTGCTAAAATCAGGAAAACACACCATAGCACGGGGTGGGGCGGGAGGGTGTCAAACGGGATATTTGGCTAGGGAGGAGAAATTATCGATTTTAGATTGCGCCGATAAAACCTGCGACGAAAAAAAAATAGGAAATATCAATATTACTTATATTACTTTTTCTATTTCAAATCATTAAAAATAAATAACAACTAAGACTGATTATGAATCGATGTATATAAACATTCGATTAATGAACACATCACTTTAAATTATATTTGGCAACACTATAGAGTTGACATTGACATATGACAAAACACAATGATAAACACTGAAAATTAACAGCTGAGCGTCAAATGAAAAGCAAACTGCAAATTGCTCAGTAAAATCTAATTGTTATTATGGGCGACGAAGAAATAAATTCTAGTAAGAAATGTGAAAAAAATAAATACAATGTTATTATCATTGGAGCAGGCATGGCCGGGCTCGCGGCCGCCAACCACTTCCAAAGCAATGGGATGCAGGATTTTATTATATTGGAAGCGAGGAAACGAATCGGCGGTCGAATTATTTCGATACCAATGAAGAATCACAGAGTTGAATTAGGTGCGAATTGGATTCATGGAGTTTTAGGTAACCCGATATACGAATTAGCCACAGCAAACGGCCTCGTAAATATTATTAACGTGCCTAAACCACACAAGGTTATAGCGGCGACGGAAGATGGAAAACAGGTACCTTTTGGTGTTTTACACGAAATACACGAAGCCTACGTCTGTTTCTTGCGGCGTTGCGAAGAATACTTCTTGTGCCAGTACCTGCCGCCACCTGATATCAATAGTGTAGGTGAGCATATTAATTTGGAAGCTACAATATACTTAGAACGATTGCCTTCATCGGAGGAAAAGAAATTACGACGACTCATCTTTGACTGCCTTCTTAAAAGGGAAACCTGTATCTCAGGTTGTAATACTATGGATGAAATTGATCTCTTAGAATTAGGTAGTTACACTGAGTTACAGGGTGGAAACATTTTGATACCATCAGGGTATAGTAGTGTTTTACAATTGATGACAAAGAATATCCCTTTAGAAAGAATTATAACCAGTTGTCCCGTGAAGAAAATCAACTGGAATTTGAATGGGAATTCTGATGATTTAGGAGAAGAATCTGAGGATTCTGATCAAACTGTAATAGAGGATATTTCAAAAAATGACAAGATAGATCAAGTAAAAGTTAGTATAGAACAAGAAAAACCAAAGAAAAGAACAAATTGCATTGAAGTGTTTTCTGAGAATGGTGAAATTTACTATGCCAATTATGTAATTTGCACAATCCCTTTAGGGGTACTGAAAGAACACGCTGCAACATTATTTGAACCTCAATTACCACAATACAAAATGGAATCGATAGAAAGGCTATTATTTAGTGCAGTTGATAAGATATATTTAGAATATGAAAGACCCTTTCTGAACCCAGATATTACAGAAATCATGTTACTTTGGGATAATTCGAGTTCACAAGAAAGTATGGCTGACTCGTGGTATAAAAAAATATACTCATTTACCAAAGTAAGTGAGACCCTGTTACTTGGGTGGGTGTCGGGTAAAGAAGCAGAATATATGGAAACTCTATCAATGGAAGAAGTAGGCATCACCTGTACAAAAATATTAAGGAAATTTTTAAATGATCCGTTTGTGCCTGAACCCATACTTTGTGTGTGGTAAGTATTTCATTCATTATTAAGGAAATAGTACTTTATTATTCCCTTAAACACCTGATAATGATTGTTATCTGAAATATGACTTACAAATTCACTATCACAAGCGTAAAAGATATAACTAATCCCAGCTTTGATACTGCTGTCAGTTCTAATTAAAAGATTACTATCAATTTTATTTTTATGAGCAGAAAGTAGGTAAATAAGAAATATGCTATTGAATAATAAGATTCTCATAATCATTATAATAAAAAGAAATTTAAAACAACTCGCGATGTTGATTATAAGTAGTTGAAATAATAAACATGGGTCACCCAGCTTACGATCAGTGTGCCCTAAAGAAAATGATAAATAAATATAGAATAATATTATAGTAAGACTCTCTGTTCATGTTCGAATTACAGTACCAGTTGGAAAAAGCAGCCTTATACGCGGGGAGCATACACTGCTTTAGCTGTTGGTGCCAGCCAAAGTGATATTGAGAGTTTAGCACAGCCCTTATTTAGAAATGTACGAGATAAAAAAGTAAGTAGCAAGTAGTTTAAAAGTTTGTACTGTTTAGTGGTTTCCTTTTTATTATTCTGGATACCTACATCAAGTATTATATTCTGTACACAAAATAATTATATTACTTTTGGGATTCCAGCCAGTATTGCTGTTTGCGGGCGAACATACGCATAGCGGATTCTATTCAACAGTACACGGAGCGTATCTATCTGGTCAAATTGCAGCTAAGCGAATTTTAAATCCGGACAGTTCTAGGGAGAATGAATTAGAGTGCCCCGGCTCAGCTGACTTACACGCCTGGATTCAAGGTGTTCAAATTGATGGTTAATACAAGGTATTAAGTATTTATGCCAGTCAAAAAACAATTACTGAATTGTTTCCCAAATTTTAGCTTTTGACAAACGTTACACGGCTAGATGGCACCACTATTTGAGAAAATAAATCGAATAATCTTCCTACCAGATATTAAGCTGAAACTTAAGTTGTGGTTACCATTGAAATATCGAAATGCTTTTTAACGATTAGTGGTGCCATAACAGGAAAGCACAGAAAAATCGTTATTGCAAACACCCATAATTCCGGAATTTGCACAAATTTATGTCAGTCACAAGTGGTGACTATAATTTTGTACCATGCGGCAAAAGTGTAGCGAGCATGACAATGGCAGCGGGCCTGTTATTTTAATTTATAGACTCTGTAGTATGTGATAGTAAATATAAATATTTATTTAGTTTTTATAAAGGGCTTCAATGACATATGCGATACAATGCGTACGATACCCTCCATTCTCTGCAATGACAATTTGTATTTGAAATTTTTAGGTTCAAATGGACAATTGCAACTAATGTTTTCGTTATAATTGTGGTTTCTTTCTAGTTTTATCGACATTTGGGGAGATTAAATGCGTTGTATCCTAGGTTTGACTGTAGGCAGCTAAGGTGCGCCTTGACTATGTACATTGAGATTTTATTAGTATTTTTTTATGAGTTAAATAAAAGCGCTTATTTTGCTCTTATTAAGTTATCAATCAGTATGATTGGTACATGATGGATTTTAGATATAGGGCGTGTAATGAGTTATTATTTTAATTTTATTATTTCACTGTTAAATTTTGATGGTTAAATTATGTGTTACCATATATGTTAATTGAAATATATTTAAGAATACATCTTTTTCTTATTGAAATAAGATTTTTAACTACTAAATTTCTTCAATAACTATGAAATACGCTTCCAAGTATTTTTTGTTTAAGTAGGTCTTTAGGATTAGTTCGTAAATTGCTCAAATGCATCAAATATTTAAGGCCACTTGGACATCCGCGACAGTGTTCGATTTCAACTTCGATTTTGTTTTAATTTATGTTTACCTGTAATAAGATTAAAGCGCTCACTCTCAAGCGCTATACTGTCGAATTAAATCTGTTGTATTATTGATTTAACTTACAAACTTTTATTATACATCATATATGTAACCCACTGGTTATTGGGAACGAGAAATTAAAAGTTTTGTCGATAAAATTTTTCTCAAAGCAAGTGGTATTTAAATTAGCCTGTATGACGTGATAGTGGAACCTTGTGCTTCGATATTGAGTTCGTTATAAAGTACGAGGTTCGAGTCTCATGTTAATAATATACGTCACACCAAAGTTAATTAATTATGTATTAAAAAACTATTTAGTTATTTACTGTCAATGCATTTATATTTTATTATCTATTTATATCTATTTTTAATCATAGAATCCGCTTTTTGCACATGGTATAAAGGATTATGTAAATACTTACATACACAATATTGTAGAAATTATGTTTAAAATTGTATTGATGACCTGCTGTTAAATTTTCTAGTCAGGTGCAGGTTTTGTAATGCTTAAATAAATAAAATCAATAAAAAAATTATTATTTCATTAACTGCCATATAATTAAAAATAGCGTATTTTTGAAGGATTTACAACACGAAATCAATATTTAATTACAATTAAAAATACAACCAATATAAAAATATATTTTATTATAGTATAACAAGGTAAAATACAAACAATTAAAACAATAAACTGCTCAGTGTAGCACCTTTAAAAATAATAACTACTACTATATAACAGATCCAAATAGGTACATGAAAAATAAATTATATGGTACTTGCAACATAAAATATTACATATAAATGCCAATACAACAAGGCCAATCATTGCATTACAAATATACTTTACACAAAGTATGAATAACATATTTAATATTCTCTTCGCACCATTATTATTAATGACCACTCCCAAAAAAAGTTATTTTCTGTCTTACTCTAATTAATATAACAAATCTCCAGCTTGCCAGTTCTAACATTGTCATACAAACGAAATGCTCGACAAAGACAAAACACTTTCGTCATTTCTATTATGAGTAAGGCAATGGATATATAATTTGAAGTTTGCTTGCACATGTTAATAAAAATTCTAGACATATGTATGGCAAGCAAAGTAGATTAGTAAATTAAATTCCGCCACCCTTAAAATTTATGTGAGAAATGTTAAACATATTCGAGATATACACTAGAGTTATAACAATGCTTGAGACTCAGTAATTTTAATAAAATCTTTAGGGAAACTCAACAGCTAAGTTGGTTTTACTGTCACTCATTAAAATAAATAATGATACAATTTCTACATCGCTATAGATATAAATTTGTAAAAAAAAAAATATGGTATCATTGCACTGAATAGGCGACTATAACAAATGCAGACCTGTTTAGTTTTACACACACAAATGGAATGTTAGAGATAAAAGTTAACATACCAAACATAACCTGATATTAGAAAGCTGTCCTGCCTCAGGGCTTGAAGGCCATATACAATCAAGCATAAATAGCTTTATTTATAAGACTTAGAGTAATGAGTATTTTATTTGGGGTCTTAGTATGAGTTTTGAGCTTGGACTTTTATAGCATTCTCTTATAGATGCAAATTTATACTCATATAATTGTTGTACAAATTAGTATTTCTGTTTGTTGAAGTATTAAATATTTTTCATGTAAGATTAATGGGGACGTTCAACAATTCGGGAACTACTTTACATTCCCATTAATTACAAAACTCATACTAAGAATATGATAATACTAAATTCCATTAACGCACCACATGCAGTTCAATTGTTGAATTTTTTCTTGATACAATTGATGCAAGACTTTTCTCAATATCTTGTGACAACTCATGCCACACACATTTACCAATAAGTGGCACTTCTTCTAAGGCTGGTCGAAATACAACTAATAGTGTTAAACAGCACCCATGAGCTGAGGGATCAGCTTCTACATTGAAAAGGCCTAATGGCCTATGCTGAGCCACATCAGCTCCAAACATTTCAACCATGAATCTCCTTAATGTTGAATGCACACTCTTAGCAGGATTAATCTCACATGTAGGGAAATGCATTGCACTTTTCTCGCTCAATAACACATGCATTCTATTTGTACTTTTCTTCTTTATAAGAACAATAAGTCTCAACAGATCTTTACTGTGTGGAGTTAACGCAGGAAGGATGGTTTTATGCCATGAGTCACCAGGACGACTCTGTTTGTACATTTTGGCGCGCTCAATTAAATGAAGTATATCATTAGCTCTTAATGAAATTTCATCTAAATTTGCTATCCATTTTGCTTGTAATGATTCACTGTCTGCTTTTGCTGGAGTTTTTAGCTCACCACCGGTTACTTTTCCTGTGAGAACAAATCTGTACCACGTACCGCCCGCAGTTTCTACGACTAATAATGTTTCCGGTTTGCAATTTAGACCGGTTTCTTCTAATACTTCCCTTGTGGCAGCTTGAACGATTGTTTCGTCTTTCTCCATACGTCCCGCGGGCAGATACCACTTACCTGCACAACTCTCTTTCGCCTCCTGCATCATGAGAATCTCATTTTTCTCATTAAGTATGACGCACGCCACCACGTAAGTAACGTTACTCCCAAGAACGGGTTTAAAATTAGACGGAGTTGTAGGTGTTATACCTTGAGATTCTGCGACCGAGTTCTGGTCAGCGATTGAAAAGTCGCAGAAGTCATTATCTTCTCCGTCGAGGCCTAATCCTTCAAGTAGTTTATTAATATTCACGTCGACTTGACGCGACATAGTTACACACTTAACTTCAAACCTTTTTTAATTCTGGTGAGGTGTCTATTTTGCAAATAAAATATTAAATATGCAATTAGATAACTACCATGATTTTACAAAATGTAACATTCACAAATATTTGTGTTAGAATTTTTTATAGTTTGTACTGTTTTATGTTTACTAAAAGCAGGAGTTAGATCACAGAGTAACGAAGTGTATGAAATGAGTACATAACGAGATTATCCACAGAATGTTTGAATAATGACAGTAAGCAACTGCTTAGTGTCATGCCTGACATAAGGTAGATTGGAAATGTCAATAAAAATAAAAGTGTTGTTACTTATGCTCACTTATTTATGCTACTGCAGAGTTTAATAATAATTATTGTGGAGTTTAAACTTTAAACCTAAATGATTTGTTTTATTTTTTAACATTTTTGCGGTTAGGTGTACAATCCGGGCATATTAGACATGTTAAATTGTTAGAAAATATATACATTTATCTACTATGACATTAAAAAATGAGGAATTACAGGAACAGACCAAAAGGTTACGATTCAAAAATGTTAACCCCACTTATTCGGCAGAATTTGGAGAAAGGACTTTAAGAGAAGTTAAGAACAAAGGTAACTTTATAGGACTAATGGTAAATACATCGAGTAACTGAGGTGCGAGTTGTTTAATGCCTCATAAATAATACTTGTAGATGGCGAAAAAGGGGTTTCTCTATTTACGTTCCTGCATGTAGAGCTTACGAGAGGATATTTATTGGAGCATGATGAAGAACGGTTTTCGGCAAGACGTGAAAAGGTGTATTCCTTCATCAAAATTCCACAGGAGCTGGAAAAATTCATGGCATACGGATTTTTTCAGTGTGCAGATTCTCTACTCTTTATTTATACTTTTCTGCCTCTAAGATTTATAATGGCCTTCTGGTCGTTCTTAGATAGATTGTTTCGTAGGTGTTTTGGGTGAGTATGCACTTAATAATAAATTAGATTTTATCTTCAGTGTTGAATAGAAGTAATCAGGATAATAAAATAAAGTTATCAAAATTGATAATTTTTTGACATTAATTGTAAAAAAATTATCATTGTAGAAACATGGATCCATAGTAAAATGATTATCAAATAGGTTCAACTAAAATATATCGTGTTTTAAACTGTTTAAGTGTTTGATTTAAATAGAAAATTATCTATTAAACTATATTGTCCAATTTCTTCAATACTATAAGTAAAACTTTTTGTATAATTTATAATTTATTTATATTTTGTTATTATTATTCAGAATATATTCTTATTGTAGGTTCTATTCAAATTCGCGTTCAAGTATACTTAAGCCGGCTGAGACCTGCGATGTACTTAAAGGCTTCATTTTATTAATATGTAGTATCTTAATGTGTTATATTGATACAAATATGATGTATCATCTTGTAAAGAGTCAAAGCGTAATGAAGCTATACATTTTCTACAATATGTTGGAGGTAGGAGACAGATTATTCTCTGCTTTTGGACAAGATACAATTGATGCATTATTTTGGACAGCCACAGAGCCAAGGGATCGAAAGAGGGAACACTTGGGTGTCATCCCACATTTAATATTTGCTATGATTTATGTGTGTATCCTTTTACAACAAAATCATAAATCATCAATCATCTATTTTGGAAAGAAGTAAAAAGCCTATGGTTAGCATATCATTGTCTTTCCTGCTGTTCGGCCGACGTGAGCGTTCTGCTGAATTATGGCCGTGAAAGCCTTACACAATTTATGAGCCTATGTTTAGTTTTAATTGTGGTTTTACTTTTATTACTTTATTAATCTATTAAAGACTAATTTCAGAATTTTTGTATTATTAGTATTGAATGTTAAATTTAGTATAATTATATTGATATACTTTATAATTTTCTTAACAATAAACCAGTCCTCCATAGCCTACTAGTGTTGTTTCAAGCGACAACACTTAATGTAGCATTTAACTCAAACAACAAGAGCCTCCTCATCATAATGATGTCAAATAACGTAAGTTGACTCATCCATTACATCACTCAAAGTGTTAATCTGCTTGTTCAGGTATTAACTGGCATTGTGTAATATGATCAGAATGCTATTGACGAAAAGATTGACTTACTAAATGATATTTAATTACATGTAAGAGATATTAACATGAATGTATTTGTTTTTTTAACAATAATAAGGATTTATTATTTTAATGACTTTTAAAAGTACAATACATAAAGTTACACAAAGTTTTTTTTAATGATAGACGAAGACCGATAAGCATGATTTTCACTCGAAGGTAAGTGAAGTACTCCGACCTATCTTTTATATGGATATTTGGAAATCCATAGACTGAAACGGAAACGATAAAACTACGTGGCTTTATTACAGGTGGACGATGGTTCCTGAACCGGACGGAATTTCGATTCATACCACCATATTAATTATATACAGATTTAGAGACGAAGTCGACATGTTTCAGAAAAACTATGAATCGAACCCACGACCTATGATTTTTTGCCGTACGTTGCTACTACAATTGACATATTTGTCAAGTTAAACTTTTCTTTAGTTAAGGATAACACAGTACCATCTTCACGTTCAAGCTACAGTAAAAATTTATTTTAAATGCATATTGATTTACTTATTAGTTTATTAAGTAGAAAAATACATACGCGCCTTGACCGTGGATATTTAATTTCTTATTTTATTTATATAAGAAAGTAACATAACAGAAACACCAATCGAATACAATTGTATAGTAAGAATAAAGTATATAATAGAAATGTGCATCCTAAAAGACGTTTCTCAGATAAATAATGTATAAAATTAAGTTAACACAAGCAAATATCTTTAACGGATTAATAATAAAATAGAAAAACACAATAAAAATAAAAAGTTATATAAATTGTACAATGTGTACAGTATGTATTGTATGGGTAGCAGTAAGTCGGGTAGTTATATAATTTACTACATGTCATTATATTTCCTTTTTACAGTTTGTAGAGCTAAAAGGCAGTGTTTTCAAAAAGTTCGACAAGAACAATTTATTCCAAGTGTCGTGCAGTGACGTGAGGGAGAGGTTGCATCTGTCTGTCTTGCTCTTCATAGTTGTGCTCCAGACGATGAAGGAGTATGTGTGGAAGGAGGAGCGCTTCTGGATTCTGGCGCCGGACTGCGTCTTGGTTTTGACGTTCGAAGTTATCATTGACTGGGTGAAGCACGCTTTCATTACGCGGTGAGTTGTTTTACTATTAATCTGGCCCTATAACAGTTTCTGCGTGTGTTCTCTGGCCATATTAACAAGGGACTGCTATAATTATATAAGATCACCAGTGCTCCTTACTTCTATTCCTTGACAGTCTAGCGTATTATTAGAATTCATGCCAGATTTTTCCTTAAAATCTCTTGGATGTTTTTGAATCTTTTAAATATGTATAATATACTATCTGGGCCAGCGGCTTTTTCCGCATAGAATAGTTATTATGAGCGTCAAAATTTGTTTTTGCAAACCTCCTCCTCATCTTTAAAAATTATAGCTGTTACCCAAGGATTCGGGTTCGGATTCGGGTCCCGTCGTTCTTGCAAGATCTTCTAGTCTTAAAAGATCGACATACACTGCTCGGAATCATTCTTTCATACATGTTTTTGAGTATCCTGATCTGGTTTCGCAATTTTCCAAGTAGAACCAATAGTTCCTGAGATTAGCGCGTTCAAACAAACAAACAAACTCTGCAGCTGTATAATATTGGTATAGATAGGCAGTTGCTTGTCAAGTCATTGTTCGAACAAAATACATATAAAAAAAAATATCAAAAACTAATTACAGCTTCAACGAGATACCGTTTGGAGTGTACCGCGAATACACCGTGAGTCTCGCGTACGACGTTGCACAGACGCGTCAGAAGTACGCGTTCAGCGATCACTCAGATCTTGTGGCACGGCGCATGGGCTTTATTCCGCTGCCCCTTGGCGTGGTCATAACGAGGGTTCTAGTACACGCTGTCAAGGTCGAAGGGTAAGGATCAAATTTATCAATGACTAGAATAAATAATAGGTAACATATTTATTTTGGGCATCAAAATTTGTTTTTGCAAACCTGCTCAACTTTAAAGCTTCAAGGTGGTAACCACGAAGTCGGTCCTGTCGTTCTCGCAAGTTAATCTTTAAAGTAGAGATGCGCCGAGTAATACTTTTGCCGAGTATCGAGTTTTACTCAGTTCAAGTTTTTTTTAACCCTTTACCTACTATACCTAACCTAAATATATTGCTTTTGTTAAACAAAGTATGCTCGTTATCAAATAACAAAGTATTACGGAGTTATTCGGCCGAGTGCGATTATCAAAAAACCCGCTGAGTACCGAGTATTAACCAAGTACTCGGCCCATCTCTACTTCAAAGACATAATATTTGAATGGGGACATTTTTTTAGATCATTAAAAGATTCTGATATCATTAAGAGATCATTCTTTTATACATATTTTTTGGGTATCAAACATAAACAAACAACTTCTGAAGCTTATATAGCATATTAGTATAGATTCCCACTTCTGGGACTCGTCTTATAAAGGTAGCCTTTCTCCACCATGCTAGATAACCTTAATATTACAAGTTATCGATTCTAAGACAGTCTACCCCACATTTTCAGATTCGCAGCGATATTCCTGATCTTCGTGGCGTATTTGTGTCTGATATCGGTCCGAGTGCTCATCTCCATAGTAATCTTGGGCAAAGCGTGCGACCTCATCGCCCTGCACCAGAGCGAGAAGTGCGAAAGTCACCAGAACACGCCCAAACGGTTAGATATGTAACTGAATAATCAGTGTTTTTTGTAAAATATATGGAATTTCTGTTTTTGTCTTTCCTAGTTGCGCCCTACGGATAAAAGATGGCGTGGAAAACGATTATTTCCTTTAAATAATATACATTTTTATCTATTTTCAGAGAGTATAAAGAATTTAAAGAGGTGTACACGCACAAGACAACAGACAGCGAACCTCCAGACAGAAAGCAGCTCAAATTCGTAGTTCCTGTTGGAGACGGAGTCGTAAGTAACAAACAGACAACAATTCGGAAAGTGTAGAAAAAAGCACTGACATTGACTAGTTAAGTTGGTAATATATATGTATTTATAGATTAAAGAATATTTATTGTAATAAATATATTGTTTAAAATTATTTTAACTACGCCCCGACGTTTCGGATGCTTTGCAGCGGCCGTGGTCACGGGGAGAAACGTCAAATAAGTTTCACTAACATATTTCGCATTTAAACCGTTAGTGTTTTATTTTAATTGTATTTGTTACCTACACCTACGTTTTGGTTGAGTCTATGGGTTTCAAAATTTCTTTAGATGTAATATAGTTGGGGTATATCAGCTTCTAATATTTAGAACATGAAGAGGGTACATTAAAATTTTTAGTATGGACATCCATTGCTTATTTTTTGTCTTAGAAGGTGGAACCTCGAGTCGATTCGACGGGTGCAGCAGCCATTTTCTCAAACAGCGCTATCGACTTAAACGGGGTCTGCTACCTCAATGACAGCCTCAACGAACCGGTCTGCGTTAAACACGAGCCCACTGACTACGAAAACGAGCTGGTGAGGATTTGAAAAAGTTTTCTAGAAAGATTAACATCGCTCTACCGATTGAGATATCGTCAGCGATCTAGCCGTGTTGGTCTGGTGGTGGTATACTCGACTCTGTATCATAATGATGCCGGTTGCATCCTGGGTAGACCAGAGTTTGGAGGTAGAAGTAGTAAACCCCTAACTAATTTAGTGACGGTAGTCATTAAAACATAGTAAATCCGCACGAGTGCAGTTGATGGGTCTTAACTCTTAACTAGCCTAGAGAAGTTACATATACTGTCGGGCGTTAAAAGTAAGCTTTTTTTTAAGTACGAAACCACAAATGCTAAGAAACATGGAATTTTATTAAACCAAGTGCATTATGAGGCGTATATCAAACATGAAATATGTTTGATGTTTGATGATCTGGTATGAGGTAGCTCAATTAGAGCAAGAGCACAGAACGTTGTGGATGCCGGTTCAATGCCTGCCCGAGTCGTATTTTTTTTTAAATTTAAAATCGATTTTCAATTTATATAGTGCCATCGTGAATGTAAAAGTTTTCAAAAATTATCACATCACACATGTAGTAGATACTATTAAACATAGTATCATTTAAATGTTTTTAGTATATTCTATTAACATAATAAAAAAAAAAAACAAGGAACATGTCAAAAGTCAAAGAAACCTGTATTTTGTTACCTTTCATAAAATAAAATTTCAACAAGTTCAATCAACTGAGAATTTAATTTTTAATCCTAATGAATCGTAAATTTCAGACGGACGTGAGCCGCAGCGCCCCAGACATAAACAAGTCTTCCCCGGGCACAACCGAAAACGAGAGGGCACATTCTCCAGACGCGGAGGGGCTTAAGCGACGCGCCGAATCAGAACCGAATCTGGCAACTACAGACGATGACGATAAACAATAATCTAGCTAAAATCCATCCAGGGGTTAGAAAAATTCGTTAAAAATGCTAGGGATTTTGAGTGAACGAAAATCTACTGCCCCATTTCCTTCTACACTTGGTATTTTAGTATCTTTTGAATGCTTTCCAAGTTTTAAAGACATAATGGTTTTTAGTTCTCAAATAGATTATGGGGGATTCTGTCTTTTCGCCGAAAATTGTTTGACCGCTTATCACTTTCCAAACAACGTTTCGCCTATTTTTTACAAGTTTAATTTGGTAAAATTATAGTTAAAAACGGTCGGTGATGTTAGGTTACTACGCTGATAGACAATGTACGCGTCGAGCGAGCACAGCGACCGTTCCGCGGCAGCGGCCGGCGAAGTGCCAGAACCAAATCGCTTTTATTTCCCTACACAGGGCATTTAAATAAGCTACAACGGTTAGGTTGGAACTGCGACCAACAATTGTTATTTGGTAAACAATAAACAACTACATGAATCAACGCTAACTAAAATTCGGTACTTCAAAGTTGGCATTTCAAAATGTGTCCTATAAGGAAGACCAAATGTGAAGTTGGCAAATTACTTTGCTGTGAAATAATATTCTGTGAAACGTTAGTTGGCAAGTGATAATCGGCTGTACAATTTTCGTCGAAAAGGCTAAGATCCAGATTGTTTACATTAATGTGTCATAAATTCTGTTTAAAATTAATATAATTTTACCAACTCACTATTTTCCAGCAAAATTCAAATAATTTTACCCTGCTATTTTGAAAGTATGAGATAGCCTTAACTACAACACAAATTAATGAAAATAGTAAAGTTGCTAAGGTTTCAATATTAAATGGTTCTTGCATGAAGTCCATCTACTAGCAAGTAACCAATAGGTACAAATATTTTTTAATATAGAAGAATGGCTTATCTACAATTTCCCTAGTCGTGGTGTACTTGGAGCGTGATGTTATTTTTTCTTTTAATAAGTCTCTAAGGTTTTTGGATGCGTTATGTATGGGTTAAATTAAATTTATTAAAAGACAATTCTTTATGTATTATTGTTGTAGGTAAAAGAAGAACGTAACTGCTATCATTTAAGTTGCGTGGAGAGACAAGTGAGTGGAAAAACTTAGGTTGCAATGTAGACGGGAAATGAATTTATTTATTGAATTAGTGTTAAGACACGAAGACTTGATGTAACTCAGGTGCTTAGAATTGTGGTAAATTCGGGAGAAAGCACTTAACCTTGTACCAGGTATAAAACGTGTCATGCAGTATGTAACTTAACACATAACCCATCTGGTTTACAAATTAAGCAATGCGAATAGAACTTTGCTTATATAATCTTTCGTCCTTAGTTCTCCTGTATAACTTCTGTTACGCACGCGTATCTGAAATTATATACATACTTTTTTACAGTAATAAATATTTATATAATTAAATATTTGATTGAAAAATAGACGTTGTAAATAAAAATAATTTATATAATTTGTGCGTTTTTCTATTATGTTTTTATATATGTATGTCGCAGTGCCGCCATCTATTGCGTTCAGCTAATCGCCGGATAGTGTTTAACAGCTATAAGGTATATGCGCAAACGGCAACACTTGTGACTTAAGTATGATCGATATAATCGTATTGACGTTACACAAACGGTTATTGTCAACTTCTTATTCTTAAATAACGTCGGGATAAGATTTTCGAGGAGCGACTGAGTTGTTATATTATGGTATAGGCTACTGCGGCTATATCGAAATTATTGCGTTTTCAAAAGTAATCCGTTTCGATCGATTCAATCGTTGCTAATTCTTTTGTGAATTGTTGCTTATTTTATGTTTGTTCTTATTTTGGAGTTATATAGTATTTTTTATCATACGGAAACCGCTTAGTGTTTCGACTGTTTGGTTATAGCGCCATCTATCAGAGTAGACGTGAATTATTTGAGCATGATTTGTTAAAGCGCCATCTATTAGTCAAGCGCGTTATTACTACATACTCAAAATGACATATAAGTTAAGCTTTTTATACAGATGTCTCTGCCTGTCTGATTTGTGCAATGTTTACGACAGATTTTCCCTAAATCATGTCTAAAATGACATTTAACCTATTACATAATACGTTTGTATAGCCTTTTTTATCAGATTAAATCTCAGAATAAAAATATTAGTAGGTAAATGATAAGGTGATACTTATGAACGGTTAGGCCCTGTAGTTGTAGTAGTACTATAGTGGTACGAGATTATAGTATTTTACTGATGCCTGAGACTCAAAATGTAATAAATATTGTTAATGATATTTTGTCACACTAAATTTAACGCGCTTTCCATGTAGTTGGCAACTGCAAAAGAACTTCAAAGAATCGCTCGTTTTTCCCGTGAAACATTCTATTTTCACATTTTTCTTTTAACACTAGAAACTCATTAGGCTAATAAATAAAATGCAAGTTTCAAGTTTTCAACAATTTGTATTTTTTGCACCTTAGGTGATTTTTATATTAAATAAAAATTTCTTTTTCCTCTTATATACACATTAAATCAAAACGTAGTCAGTGTATTTACAAATATATTAAATAGAATTTAGTAAAAATTAGAGAAATGTAACAATAGATATCTATAATGATACTTAGAGCTAGCTATAATTATAAGAACATCAACAACATTTTTCACTCAGGCGAACGCACAAGATATACCTACTAAACTGTAATAGTACCTATAGGAAATTCGTACAAATCCACAAAAGTGTGAACACCATAAAGCATCAGGTTGATCCGCCGAGGGCTAGAGAGAGGGACGACGGAGTTCCGCGGTCGGTCTCCGGCCGACGCTCGGCGAGGGCGAGACTCGATTCTAGTTCCAGCCGCACATCGACAACGTTAACGTGATGCAACAATACATAAAATGTCAGAATTTAGTCTTTTCCGTTTCGATAGTCACACATTAATTTCTTACACGTTTAAAATACCTACCTACGCTAGCCTTGTCTAAGGAGACTTCGTCTCATCTACAACAGTAAAAACAATATAAACTTGTAGAGAACGTTCCTTTCGGGAGCCCTGTTACGTCGCGGTTCGTGGATGTTCGCTGCTGCGCCGAGTTAGTTAAATTATTGTCAGTTATTTCAATTCATACCGACCGAGCTCCGTCCTAAAAGGCCCACCCGAATGCACTAGAACACCCGACGATTAGAAAAGGCCTTACATTAATTTGTGCTCAAAAACGCTTATTTAGAGATGAGTTTGTGTCGCGTTCGGCTTCGCGCGCACCTCGACACTACCGAATGTTATATCTACGTACAAAGAAACTTATGAGTATATAAATAGGGGCCTTTTATGTAAATAATTAATAATGATTAAGAGATCATAGTTTAAATCCTACGTCTATTACCTTCGCTAGATTAGTCTAATTACGCGAATTTAATAATACATGCCACCGGAGAAGAGGCGATGAACGAGTCGACCGCGGTCGAGAGAGCCAAGATGGGGAAAGACAGACGATCTATCTACAAGAAGAGGAGCGTTGAGCAAATTTTGTTAAATTAAAACTTGAGCAAAGAAAGGCGACGAAAGTAGAGTCGAAGTGTCGGAGAGTACACCCATAGCTACGACTAGAAAATCGAAACGAACAAAACACGATCGCTCCGCAATCGCGGCGCGTTCACCGCGCGTAATGCACGAGGCCGGGGCACGCGTAAAGTTAATGGCACTGTTTCACGTTAGTTACGAATACGAGAACGTTATAAAACTTACGACTAATAACATACGACGCGCGAACGAGTAGCAGCGGTCTAAAATGTTTGCCCGAACAACACGACACCGATAGACTAATGAAACGGCAAACATTCCATCGCCGCCGTCGTACACCAAACTTATCCCGAATCGCTCGAAGAGCACCTTCCGATGCGCGAGACGCCTTATCCGCTGCCGAGGAAGCGAGGGGAGGATATGTGTTCGCGGAGGACCGTCGGGTCTCTTTCGGCTATCACTACCCGCTTACGTTAGGCCGTTCCTCTCGATTGATCCCAGTCTATTTCATTCGATTATCCTATCTACGGCGATTATTATTAATTACAAACATGTATAAAAAGATATATATATATAAATTTCAATGAATTTACAAATGTTAATAAAGCTTCGTTAAGACGATTTAACACCTAGGCGATGAAATTATTTGATAACTTCAACGTGAGAGACAGTAACGATTCAGTGTCGCGGCGTGGGGGGGACGGGCGAGTCGCCGCCCGGAGACGAGGTTGACGCCGTCGGGGTGACGGTCGTCGCGGTCGCCGTCGCTGTGGTCGCCGAAGGCGCGGTCGCTGTCGCGGTCGCCGTGCTGGCGACGAGTCGCCGCTAGAGTGGCGCGTGCCCGTGCTCGTGCGAGGGCCCGGCGCGCTCGCGCTTCAGTCGCTGCTTGAGGTGCACCTTCGCGTGGCGCTTCTTCTCATCGGAGCGCGCGAACTTGCGCCCGCATACGTCGCACGCGAACGGCTTCTCGCCCGTGTGCGTGCGCACGTGCGTGGTCAGGTGGTCCGAGCGGCTGAACGAGCGCATGCAGATGCGGCACTGGAACGGTTTCTGGCCCGTGTGGATGCGGATGTGCCTCGTTAGCTCGTCCGACCTGGAGAAGCGCCGGTCGCAGCCCTCCACGGGACAAGCGTAGGGCCGTTCGTGCACGGGCGTCTTGCTCGGGCGGTTCGGGTATTTGCGCGGTTTCACCGGCATCAACCGCAGGGGTTGCGCGCTCTGCTGGTACACCTGCGAGAGGATCTCGTGTCCCTTGCTCGTCGAGGGGTTGTACTCGGCCAGCTGCACGGGCCGGTCGCCGGCCGGGCTCGGGTAGGGCTCGCGCTTGGGCATCCCCGAAGGGCCAGGGGTCGGCTGCGGCGGGGCGACGTACTCCTGCGTCTCCCAGGTGTGCTGCTGAGGAGGCTGCGGCTGCGGCGGCGGCCGGTACTCGCAGTGCTGCGGGGCGCATTGTTGCGGGCAGTAGGCCTGTTGGCATTCGGGGGGCAGAAGTTCGACGCGTTCCTCGTACTCCTGCTGGAAGTACTTGTCGACGCTGCCGGGGCCCGGGCCGGAGGGCAGCAGCCACTGTAGCGGCGGTGAGGGTGCGCGCTTGGCGCCTAAGGGGGGGCCGTAGAGGGAGGCGCTGGCGCTAGACGCGTTGCTGGCGTCCTCTGCGCGTGCGCCGGGCGAAAGCGACGACTCGTGCTTGTGTCGTCGCGGAGAACATCCTAGTGAGAGCTCATCGCCGGGCAAAGTACCTGTAACAACAAAGGCAGGATGTTATTGACAACTCTATCGCTTATAATCTTCTATACGTTCATGGAGGTGCTATTTCGTATATATAAACTTTGCCATGTGCAATTACTTACATATTAAATCTATTAAAGTTTGTCATTTTTCAAGCTTACGCTATCAAAATTCGCTGTTCTACACAAGAATTTGCACAAAACTTTTGAATAAATGTTGCATTTTACAAATCCACTTATTTAATGTATCGTGTACCGAAGTAATAATTAATAAGCACTCTAATTGTTTTACTTTGCTTCAGTATAGTGCAGGTATATACTTAGCTTACAATCACATAATCGATTTTAATTGCATTTATAAAAAAAAATCAAATATGTTATAAATAGCTTAATTCAATTATGTGTGGTGTATACTAAGCACTAAATATTAGATCTTTAAATTTATTATTATTCGATTATTACTTAAAATAATATTATTATTTATTTATAAATCCTAAAATAGATTTAAATTTGTTTTAAGCTATAACAACTAGAATTATAACGTTTCAATTAGGTACCTAGTTAAATTTTATCTATTTAGCTCGTGAAAGAAAAATCTTATGAGATTTAATTACTTGATTTAATTTTGAGAGATTTAATTTACGAAGAAAAAAAATTGTGTTTCAAAATGAGAATTATATTTTTGAAATACAATTTTTATTTTAATAAAATCTTGTAAAATCAGAAAAGGATTTACGTTTCTTAATGAATAGGAATCGTTAATTCCTTTTTATTAAGAAAATCAAAACAGTGCTGAATATTTATTTTATATTAGCCGTATTGCAACTTAGAATAAATTGGAAATAGTGCTTTAGTTTAGACGAGGACAATGTTGTACAGCGGAAGACAGACCCTCAGATAATGACGGAAATTGATATCAGTTATCGTAATATTATTTTAACTAACTATTGTTACGGTCACCTTGTACCTACATTAAGATCGCAAACGGTCAATCGCGAATCAGCAAAACATCGTCGAAGGCTCGTGTTTCCCGAGGAGAGCTCGAATAATTTCTAAGTTATCCGCTATAAAATGTCAAAATAATCTCTACGTAATTTGAGAGTTTCCGAAAGATTCCGACAATACGAAATAAAATGGACGCTTTATCACTCGCGAAGTTGAAAGCTTTATTATTATTGGGCGCGTCGAGATTTCATAAGTCGAAACGCGGTTCTGATGTTTTCAAAGAAGCGAGTGTCTCTTTAAAGAATCCGTCGGCCCAGCGACGTTACCGTGTTCGAGTACCGCTCCAAAATCCGTTCAAACTTTCCATTTCACGTCACACTACACGATCGCACATTTGCACCAACGCGTTGTTTATTTACAACGCTATCACCGCCTACTCGTAAGCACCTGAAATCGGCGGCGGCTCCAGAAGACTCGGGAAGAACGCGGGCAGGTCTGACGTCGCCACCGGAGTGTTGAGGTCCGGCGGGGCTCCGGACGTCGGCGTGGTGATGGGCTTGAGCGCGCAATCGAAGCCTAGGGCCCCCACGTCGGCGAGCGAGAGCAGATGAGCGCCGGCCGGGGGCTCGGAGTCTGTGCCCATCCCGTCCGGCACCACCTGCTCCTCGGCCCAGGGGCCCAACGGGATTACGAACAACGCCAGCGTGAACACGTCCTTTCACGCGGCCGCTGAGAAAGGGACTGGCGCCGCGCGACCCCGCGCCGCTTTTATCAATGGACCACCGGTGATGCGGCACCAATGCAGCGCGGGTTGGGCTTAATCTAGCGGGTCGATGGTCGAAACAGCGCGGTCGTGTGCTACTTCAAGCGCTTTATTGCCGTCGAAAACAGCATTTCCTAATTTATGCATAATATTATGACAATCTTTTGTTGCTACAACAATTTTGTAAAATACAACAAGTCTCCACATTTTTATATTGTGTCATTTTATAAATTAGAATGTTTGGGAGTTTTACATGATATATTTCTTAAGCGTGATTATAATAATAAAATTTTTCACTCATAAGGGCTTTTCTTTCGTTAAAATTAAAAAAAAAACAAAAACAACTTTTAAGTTAGGTATACATTTTTTTTGATAAATCCTATGCTTATTTTTTATTTGATTTTCCATTTATAAATCACTTTAAAATTAAGTTGTAGTAAAATCTACATAAATGTCGAAAAAAGTAGTAACACTTTCCGTAATAATTATTTGGTCTATTTATTTAATTATTAATTACTTTTTGTCAGGTTCTATTATTTTTGCTTAAATTTATTGCATTGCGTTTTGTGGATAATAAATAAATGTTACGTCAAATACAGCGCTGCGCTCGCTGTTTTCTCCCGCGATTCCGCGCTGTTTCGTGTCACGGAGTCATTTGGAGTGCACCGGTCCCATATTCGGTAGCGGCGCGCGCACCTCCACCAATCGCCGGGCGGCCGCTGACGTCACCACCCTGCGCCGCCCACCGCCCCCGCCACCCAACCGCCCCCCCCAGAGAAGCCTTCTATGAATCGCGTGCCTCCGTTGCCCGACATTGACAATGAATGCTGCACGTTCATAACAAAACGCCCGCCCGTGTTTATTTACGCGGCGGAAAAGGTGTTGCGCTTTTCAATTCCATTTTCACGAGTGGCGGTCAATTTGGGGGTACCTACGGACTAATGCCTTATATAGATAGTTTTTTGATAAATGCAATAATTTATATCGCGAAGTATTACATTGTCTGTATTATTTTTTTAACTTAAAAGGCTCTTTAAAATAACTAATGGATAACTAATTTTAATGTAATTATTTAATTTTTATTTTAAATCGTTTGACTGAGTCAGTTAGAACTCTTCATGATTTATTAATAGGTACGTAAAATTCAACTGTAACGTACGATTGCTAGATTGACATTTTCAGTTTTTTTAACGTGTGTTTAGTACCCTATTTAGTCAGAAACACGTACCTACATAAGTAATTTAGAAAAGTATGAATTGTTAGACCAATTCTTTTCGAGACGAATATTAGGTAGCTACGAAAAATTATCTGACTAGACGTCTGTCTAGTCGAAGTCTATTTTTCATTTATTTCTCTATTATTGATGTAACAAACGATATATAAAACATTTTATTTTATTTATATAAAACAAGGGTTTTGCTCATGGAGAGAGGTGCCATCGTATCGTTAAATTCCTGGCTTACAAAATTCTTTTCCTGATCGGCACAAGAATTAGGTATACTAGGTACAACTTAGTAATTGGTCACTGATTTAAACATAACTTTATTTAAATAACACACTTTAATGGTTTAACACGCGATATATATATCGTGTTAGACCGTTAAGATAGAGTTATTTAAAAAATGTTATAACTACAGCCCGAAATTTTTCGGTAGTCCAGCAGCCGAGGTCACGGGGAGACGTACTTATATAAGTTGATTTATTGTCTCTATAAGTTTTAAATAAATTGTTGCCTGGCTGAATAATATTTTGAGTTAAAATATACAAACCTTTTTTATTTACTCTCTCTAGTAGATTGTTCGTAGAGAAGTTATGTAAGTAGAGAATAGACTAAAGTAATTCAACTAGAATTTCAGAGAGGTATATTGGCAATAAGCACTTGGCTTTATGGTAAGTTAAAGTTTAAAAATCGAAAATAAATTGAAAAAAATTTTCGACTCGGGCAGGACTTGAACCGGCATCGTCAGCTTTCCGTGCTGTTGCTCTACCAATTGAGCTACCGAGTCCTACACCTCATCGTCGAATTTTTTCAACTTATTGATACATGCACCTCTCGCGCAATGTAATTTCTACCTTAACACTTGCGTATTAAGGCTCAATGTCTTATGCTTTGCAGCTTAAGAAATCATTGAAGATGAAATTACAAAGTTATAACGTTTGAAAACATTAATATTTTTCACATGTTATTGCACATGAAGGCACTATATAATTTAAAAATCGAAAATAAATTGAAAAAATTTTCGACTCGGGCAGGACTTGAACCGGCATCGTCAGCTTTCCGTGCTGTTGCTCTACCAATTGAGCTACCGAGTCCTACACCTCATCGTCGAATTTTTTCAACTTATTGATACATGCACCTCTCGCGCAATGTAATTTCTACCTTAACACTTGCGTATTAATTATTCCTAAATGGTTCTAATTGCTGTAAGTAAAATTCTTATAGTTATATATGAATGAACTTTTTGGTATTATTATATTATTGTTTATTTTTGTATGCTTGTTATTATTATGTTACTACTCCAAAACATATTTGAACTATCTTCTAATTTCAATTCTCAGATGTCTTTATACATATTAATTAATTCAATGATTTCTTAAGCTGCAAAGCATAAGACATTGAGCCTTAATACGCAAGTGTTAAGGTAGAAATTACATTGCGCGAGAGGTGCATGTATCAATAAGTTGAAAAAATTCACATAGGTGTAGGACTGGTAGCTCAATTGGTAGAGAAAAGGAAAGAATAGTTAAATTTTTCAATTATTTTCGATTTTTAAATTATATAGTGCTTCATGTGCAATAACATGTGAAAAATATTAATGTTTTCAGAAGTAGGTTAAAAAGTACTTTAGATTTACCTATCATTAATTAATCATTATTATCATTATTATTTATCATTTATTAAGCATGCCCCCCCCCCCACCACAGTCCCGTGTTAATGCAATTTAAAATTTAAAGGTTAACCTATATTATTTGATAGTGTTTGAAAAATATCTGGATTGAAATGCTATCTGTAGCAGCAGAGAGCTTGTTGTTTTCGTAACCTTCTATTTCCATTGGTCCAAAGGACCTCGTAAACGGTAAACAGGCTTAAATTAGCTTAATAGAAACTGCTAATAAAAAGCGTTTAGCATGCAAATAACTCATTATATGGAAGTGTGAGTGACGCCTACCCACGTACCAAGTTGTCTTAGGGTGACCATATAAGGGGGTCTAGGCACTTTACACAATTCGGTTCAGGCTCTACATACACGTGCGTCCTCGCTGTTTAGAATACATTAAATCAACTTTAAAACCGTTTAATTGTGTAAGACTTTCATATCATTGTTTTTCGGGCTGTTCGGCCGACGTAAGCCAGAACAGGTTCTCGACGTTTCACCATCACGAGGGACGGCATCATCATCAGACATTAGCATCTCGATTGGAACAAAGAAAAAGAAAAGAATGGCCAAACTTCGAGAACCTCTTCTCGCTTACGTCGACCCAACATTCCGAAAAACAATGATATACCTTTAAACCTTCATTTACTTTATACACGATTATAAGAAACATGAATTATAAATGGCAGTAGTTTATTCTGGCAGTAGTCACAAAATGAAGAGACAATTGTGTTCATATTGACAACAATTGTTTTTATGAAATAGAAAAAAAGAATCATGAGATTGTCTTGATGATAAGTGAAATACTCCAGCCATCTAATCCAGAGGCGCCGATTTTGACTTCAAGATATTCGGAAATTGGTGTATTGTCTGTTCGGGTTTGTTATAAAGAACTAGGCCAATTATTTAAATTTTTTCGTCTACTTTCTAATCGCAGTATCAACGTGATGAAGTCGGTCGGATATAGACAACCTAAGGTAGTGTCGGGTCTATTACTAATTGGTTGACTCTGTCAATATGTGTTCAGTGCATAATTATTATCTACTTAAGGCACAGTGTGGGCGGGGGCAACTATCGATAGGCAATAAATTGTGTTTATCAAGAAATTACCCGCGAAGTAATTAGTCAGACAACGGCCCAGCACGGTGCCTGCGAAAGGGGGCTGACGTATTACGTCTATGTGACTTTTCTTTGTCGTGGCTGTAACCCTCACAAATAGTAATAAGAATTATTTTAGGTACGAAGAAAATTGTTTATGGTGTATGTAACGGGTAGCGATTTTTAGCGAGTAGTATATTTTGTGTTCCGTTTGATCGATAGACAAATGTTTGTTATTTACCCATATTTTGCCCTATGTATAAAGACATCTGAGAATTGAAATTAGAAGATAGTTCAAATATGTTTTGGAGTAGTAACATAATAATAACAAGCATACAAAAATAAACAATAATATAATAATACCAAAAAGTTCATTCATATATAACTATAAGAATTTTACTTACAGCAATTAGAACCATTTAGGAATAATAAAACATCGAACCGCCAATCGCTAAAACGAAAAATGGCATAAACAATGGAGTACGCTTACGATTACTACACCGTAAGGACATCGGATCGGGCAGTGCACCCGGCGGCTCCGGCCGAGACACGCCGACGCCCTAGCCCACATGCAGCTAACCCAATTATCGCAGCGACGATAAAGAAAAATAACAAACCCACGATTTCACCGCGTCTAATTATAGCTGGCTATTTGCGGTGCGCGGGCGCATAGCGTGACCGCGATGTCAGGGCTATTCCTGGCGCGGGCCGTCAGCTGACGCCGCACGCTCCGGACCGCTCGTAAACACGATTGACGTAAAAACAATCGCACAGGTGAATCACGGGACGAAAGCGACCCGCTGCCTCCTCTATTATTGGCTTGGCTCTTTTTGGTCCGAAGGCGGGAACTATTTCTGACACCTCACTCAGCTCTATTCTCGATGCGAACGCTCCGAGGACGTCATTATGCGGAATATTGTCTATGTTTTCTTTCGCGTTCGAGATGCTTCACTCGACGTGCCGTGTAGGCTGTGCTGGGTTAATGAACTATGCTCTGAAGTAAATTGTCTTTGACAAACTAATGTAACCGAACGCGAATTTTTAATTTTATATAGTCATAGAAAATACAGCTAAACGTATTAATTTTACAAGTAAGTACTCGAAGACACAACCGAAATTGTTCTGTCACTATTAACTACTACAAATGAAAATACGACATTCAACACAGCAATTACATTGGAGACATCCGTCCTAACATTTGTCTAGAGTAATTTATACCACCGTCATACGTTCGACAGACGCATGAAGAATCATAAACCAATCGAACTGTCAACTATTGGCTCAGTGGCATGTTATCTGTGGTTGAGCAAATATCATAACGACAATGAGCACCCTCGACCATAGACAAACATTGCAATAGTTCCCACGGCCGGCGCTAGAGGTGGGTGTCGAAAATAGTTAACACACACAACCGTTTTATATTCCATATTTACCGATGTTTTACCAAAACTTTGATTTGAGGTTATGTAAATAATCAGCTTCGTGAAAGTGTTGCCAGATTTTGAAACATTCTGACAAGTCGAACACATAAACATTCGAGTATCGGAGTACTTTTGGCAATAAACACTACGTTTGCTGTTGTGTTTTTAGAACTGAAATCTAGAATCTAGACTAAACACGACAGTCGAAGGTTTCAACACGAAGGAGAATGGAAAGAATTGAGGATGTCTGCACAAAAATGTAAAAAATTCATTGTTGCAATGGAAGGTACAAAGTGTCGATGTTATAAATTTGTCTGAATTGTGTTTCTAATAAATTTAAGAAAAATACAAAATATTTCTCTCATTTTAGATTTAAAGATTAACAATATTATTTTGTATTATGACAGACAATTTAAGTAAACA